TCATAATTAGAGCAACCGAAAGAGCTTCGGGGAAAAATTAATGAAATTGTTAATAATGCGCCGCACAGATTTCCCAGAGACCCAGCATAAAAGTGCAATGTTCAAGGGGGCCAGAGAAATCTGAGAGCCACAGCAGAAGTCGAACAATTGAAAGCTCCCGAAATTGTTCCATCTTTCCCTCTTTATTTTTGTTTTGCGCCGGCGCGGCCAATGCACTTTTGGTAAATATGTTCATAATGATATACATACATATGTACGTTTACACTTGCGGTCAGAATACAGTTTGTAAAAACTCTAAAATTTAAAACACTTTTTTTTATTGCTTTAACATCATTTAGGATTTCTTTTTTATTACTATAACACACTTACTAGAATTAAATTATAAATTTTATCTGCAAACATTTGCTTTTAGCTCAAGCCATTTAATTCGATCTATTTATTTTTCTTTTTTTTTATACATTTTTATTAAAAGATACTATTATTTTGACCGCTGATGTTCTTAAGTGCTTCTGGTAATGGATCGATTTTTGGAGCTTCCATTAAGAACACTTAAGTCCCGAGCTCGGACTCGAAATCAAATTTAAATACTGCTCAGCCTCAAATTAATTCAGCGTGCTCAAGTTTTATGGGTTTCCAATTGAGAGAGTCTTTGCACCGAAGAAGAGGGAATAATATCGGCTTGTATATTGATTGGAAATATGGGAAGCAAAGTTCAAATGCGTCACGATCGCAGTGCTGTGGTTGCACTGCCCGCCCATCAAAAGATTTATTATGCTGGAGAGCCGAACGGAAGCCTCTTCAGAAAGTGGAAAAGAGGGAGCCGCAGCATTGGGAGAATCGGGGAAGAAGAATGGCAGTTGAAGAATGCCACTTGAAGAGCCAGCGACGCCGTCGAGCACTCGCAGTTCTTCGTTCTTCTCGTATGATGCATGTGAGAGAATGAAGAAAGCAAGGCGATCGAGGTGGAGAAGTAAACTACAGTGAGGCCCCTTATAAATGAAACATTTCAATTGCAACTAATATCTCCTCTTTTCAAAAAGATCAGATTTACAATCCTATTTACACAACACATGAGGGTTGGATATTTAAAAAGGTTTCTAAGGTAAAAACTAATAATTAAAAACAAGTTTTTATTTTCTTGATGTTCGACTGTAACCTTTGATATGCCACAGACACCCAACAAAGTAAAAAGAATCCACAGGAAAGAGGAGCTTCGCTCTAGTTGAACAAAAGGAGCAGTAACCCTTCAGCCAGCTTGGAATGGAAAATAATTGCGATTCCAGCTGGAAAGCGAAGGAACTGGAGTTGCATTGCCCAAGGCCCATGTGTCTCACTTCATTTGCAGCAAATGTTGCGTGTCTCTGCCAGCGGAGAGTTATACTCGTACTATATGGACTACATGGAGGACCAAGAGGGGTTCAAGGGAACTGTCGCTTGTGACGAATTCCTATTTGATTTATGCACTCCCTTGGCAGCATATTTGCATGGTTTATGTTCACGCCCCTCGACACTCGATGTAGTTTTATTACCAAATCAAATACGATTCGCCACAAAGTAAACACTTTCGCCTGAAATATGTTTCACATCAGAAGAGAATGTCACAAGCATGGGGGTTTGAAATTAGGCAACATTCTGAGGAAAATTATGCATATCCACATTAATTCTAATCAAACCTATTCCGATTTTTTGTTGATCAATTGATGAGTTTACTTTCTTTTTATTTAACTAAGCATCACATCTAACCCTTTGTTCTGACTGACTTATGACTTATAAGGCCCACAGAATTTATGCATTTATGATGGGCATAAATGCATAAATAATTGCTTTAAACATGGTAATAGATCTTGGTGATCGTACACCCAAAATAAGAAGAACTGTTTCCCAGATCCATTTGATTGATTACTAACTCTCCCCCTCGAATCTCCAATTACACGGACATGCGATTGGTGGAGTGTTAAATTGACGGACGACCAGCACCGAAAAGAGTTTTTTTAGTATTTCCATTAAGATTGAATTGATGAACTCGGAAGGGAAACAAAAACCCAATCAATCTTTCGCTTCGAGGAACTCCAACGCGTGCTGTTGTCATTTGGGGCTTCTCGTTCCATCTTCCACATATTTACATATATATATACCTCTATATATACAGATATGTGAAACTCCCACCCGGCTGCGTCTGCGCAACGCATTCAATCACTTCATTTGTTTCCATCCGCAGTCTTCTTTGGATTCGACTCCATCTCGTGGTCTTCTGGGCGGCACGTTCGCCGCGGCAGTAAAATGTTTTATTTACCCTGCACTTATGACCCCGATGCGGATCGAGTTAAGTGAATCTGATACCCATATACATGTATGCCCATCGCTGGCTGTTGCATTTGCATCTTCTGAGGCGGTTGTCTGTTTAAAGGGGCCAAGGGAAGGAGGAGGCAGGGGTGTCATTGCAACCAAACACAGACAAATGCTGTGGAAACCGAGCCATAGATCTCCGCTGCAACTCGCGATGTCTTGCGTCCAATGATGAATTGTGTCCCTGGTTCCGTAGACAATCACGATTGCATACCGTGGCGTCACATCGTTCATATTTTACAGAAACAGCAGCGAACATCTTAAATGAAAAATCTTTTATGAGAAAAAAGAAATCACTTTACTTTGTTTTACTTTATAATAATAAACAAATCATGAATACTTCGTTTAACATTTTATATTTATAACAAACCTAAGAAAAAATGTTTTTTGTTTATAATCATTTCCACTGTCTGAACCAAAAGATGGGTACTTCACACCAATTGAATGGGTACAACAAAGACAGCCAAGCCATATATTCATAAACACGATGGCAGATACAAAGATACAAAAATGCCCCTGCACATACAAATGTATCTTTTGTGTCGCGCCGATCTTTAATTGCAGAATTGTAAGAGGCTCAGGAGCCGGATAACCTTCAATGCAGTTGCAGATGCAGATGCGGTACTCAACTGCTGCGCTGTGATGGTGATTAATTTGACACTGGTGTCGCCTGAGCTGCGTTGCTCGGGCTTTAATAAAAGGATTACACGCCGCACAATTCCATAAAAACGCATCTCCATTGGAGTGAGTTGAGTTGGGCAGTCGCCCTGCGCCTAATAAGATTAATTATGAGCGTCTTGCCACGACTGCAACTTCGACTCCTGCCGCCATCTCCATCTCCATGCAGCTGCGTGACCACTTCACATTCATTTACCTCACAGTTCCAGTCATAATATTAGTGGTAATATTGGATATAAGCCAATCATCAGAAGGTGCCGATACAATTGATTTTTTATTTGTTTTAGAAATTTATTTTTGTTTACGTTTTCAAATATCCTCATTAAATTTTCTACAAAATTGTTACGTTACTTTCATAGTACTATCATTATAAATCTTTCTTTAAATGAACACTATTTTCGTGACCGCAATTAAAAATAAGAACAACTTTGGGGCGGTGGACAACTCTCGATTCAATATTTTGACATTACAAATATCAGACTCTTTTGTTGCCTACTGTTTCATTAATTTAAAAGCTTTTCGAGCACTTTAAGAGCCTTCTTTCCCTCATTTCAGGGAGGGTTGAATTAATCCCTGCCAGAAATTAGCATATTGCTAAGTGTAAGATCCTGTCGGCACGCGACTCAGCATATGGTCATTGTAAAGCGATAAGAGGCGACAATAATTAGAAGTGGTAAGGAGCTACTGCTCCAGCGATTAGTTACGCCGCGTAGGCAGCTCCTTTTCTTCCTTATTTATAGACAGGCCAGGAAATGAAAGTAAAAACCATTATGTTAGTTTTAATTAACTTTAGGCTTCCCCAGGGAAGAGGAGCTCGCTCCATCACATCCCCCAAGGCGAAATGGCAATGATGATGTCATTCCCGCAGCATTCATCTCCCATAAATCACGCGGCGATCGCGAAAATCCCCCAGTTTATGCTCCAGCCATGCTGAGAGCCATGACAGCAGTCGCATCCAGCAGATTCGCCAGCTTGCAGTCGAGTGGATTGGAGCAGAATGGAGTGGAGTGGAGCCAGCTGCCACAGATTAGTCAGAGTCAGCCAGATTCGGATACTGGCGCACTTCAATTTACTCGCTGCTAAGCTGCTCGACTGGTTTTCAGATCGCTGGATATTCGGGCAGGGTGCGGATAGAGGTGCAAAGATCAAGGTGAATGGCGAATATATGGCTTTCTTGGGGTCCGACACTCCCCTGATATACAATTAAAAAAGGAGCAGCAACAGAATAGTTACACCAGTTAGTCATACAATTCCAACTCTTACATAAAGTTCGGAATCATCAATAAATGGCAAAGACTTAACGGTCTCCAGCTTAAGGGTCACTCCTCTCGTACACACAACTTTCTTTCGCCATAACAAAAAATCTGGAAATAAGTAACGCGAATGAGAAACAGCGAAAATAAACCGCCGAAAGCCGCAAGAGAACATTTTGAGGTTGGCAAAGGTTAAGGTAGGATGATGTTGGCTAAGCCACAGTTCTGGTTGGGCGGTTTCAAAAGAATTTCCGTGGGCTGGTCAATTTCAATCGATGGATTCCCATTTCAAGGCCCAATAAAATATGCCTAAGAGCCAGCATTAGTATGCATAAGATGGCATTTTGTACCTATGGCCAAGCATATGTATGCTTGGGGCATGAGTCACCGATCCACGTAAAATGAAAAGACCCAAACATGAGTAAATGCACATTCATGGATTTTAAATGGGCCGATGAAAATAAAGAAATAAACTGTTGGCAGCACATAAGACTCCGAGCTGCGAGCGTGACTTGTTTCCCCCATGTTTTTTGGTTAGTTGCTTTTGCGCTGGCCTCTTTGGGTTCCCAACTTGTGAGCCGTCATTCATTCACGCCAACTGTTGATAAGTTTCTGTGACACATTCAACTCGTTTGCATATCCGAGCGGCTAACGAAGCCCAGTCTGTGGCACCATTAGATAGGGTTAATGGACAACTGCAGATTGTCCGAAAACCAGCGACAGTTGGGGTGGCATTATCACTTCTCACTTAGCTTTTATTCGGTTGCAAGGCAAACGGATACGGCCGAATCCTTCTCTCATCGAATCACCATTAAACTAGAAATAGGAAACTAGACTTTAAGACTTCTGTTCCTCTGGCTTCTCCGTGGTCCAGGTCTTGGGACGGTCAGCCATGATGGTCCAGTCGTTTTCGGCGATGTTCAGACCCCCGTATTGCCTCAAAGGAGTGTCGGGGAAGAATTCCCAGCCCTGTTCAATGGACATCTTTTTGATGACGCCGGCGATGCCTGGAAAAAGTATAGAACGGATTAATCAAGGCGTTTAGTTTTTAAGAACGCGGGAAATTTACCCAGGAAGAGACCGGCGCAGAGACCAGCTACGTGGTTGTGTTTCCAGGCTCCAAAAACGCCGCCAGCCGCAAAGCCACCGATCAAGTAGTTGATTCTAAAAACGGAGAGTGATTAGGCCTGGGGACGATCAATGGGTGGTTTCCAAACTCACTTGTCGTCCTTGCCGCGGGCATTTGTGGCCGCCAGGGTGGTCAGAGTAAATGCCGTGGCCATGCCCATCAGCGGACCGGTGTTGTAGGCGAAGCGGCCCAGCGTGGGCAAATAGCCCTGTGGTTTGGAGAGCGTCAACACGTCGAACATGGACCAGGCCAAACCGGCGGAAACGGCGTACTTGTTGGTGGCCACAATCTTGCCAAAGGCATCCTCGCCATCAGGATGGTCGTAGTACTTGGAACGAAGCAACGACATGGTTGGCTACAAACGATATTGAAAGGTAACAACATTAGTCCACACAAACGGATTTTATTACGGAGCTCCCAATGCAAGTTCAGCCATTCAGAGCAGTAGAAACTGTTTCCTGGTATGTCTGCTAGTATTGAGTGGGTTTCTTGAAGGAAATTCCCTCTTAATTGCCAATAAATAAACAGAAATTCGCTAACCTGCCGAAATTTACGTAATTTTTGTGGCGAAGATTGACAAAAAACAGCTGTTAACCAGTGTGTACACACGTGAAGATGGAAAATTAAAAATGTGCTGTTAAGTGCATTCTGTTAAGTGCGATGTTGTTGTGCTGTTAATTTGAAAATGTTCCTTTGTTACAGAGTTTCTAAAAGAAGCGGGTAATTTTGAATAAAAAAATATGATTTCAATGACAAGTTCGGTTTTCAATTTATTTATTATACTAGGTTCACAAACGCTGTGGCACTAACTTTAGTTGTTTAATCATAAGTTGCAATCAATCCGTTTTGTTTGAGTAATTTTTTTGCCAAGAGACTACAGGGTTTTAATGCGAAGAGAGCACAATATAATAGACGATGCAGCTTGAAATACATATGCGCTTAGCTTAATGGTAGACTAGTTTTTGCATTGAGTTTCAACTAACAGTATTCACATAAAATCATGCAGTTCACAGAGAACGCAGTTTTCTAATAGAGTTCAAGAGTTTTTTCGACATGCAAGTAGGATAACGTTTGACCGAAATTGAGTAAAGTTTTTAAAGAGCAGAGAGACAGAGGGTGTGTGCTGGTAAGAAGACAAAACTTTGGCGTTTTTTAAATCAAAACAAAGATATCAAAACATACAATATGTATATACAAATAAGATATCAAATTATTGGCAAATCGTCTCGTGTTAATCAGTCATAATGTTCGTCGTTAAACGAAATTAGCAACGAAATTTCACTCGGCCCTTGCAATAGTTTTGTCTGAATCTAGTCAATATCATTGCCAAAATATATAAAGTTCGATCGGTATACGTGAAAGTATACATTTTTGTCTACTGCTCGTCGTGTCCAATTATTTCGATGTCATCAGCCAGGGGGCTTTCCACTGCGGATTTGCCTGCATTTCCATTTTGTTGATTTGCGTCCAAATTAATCAATGACAATGTCATTCTGCTGCTGAGAATGATCTGGAAAAGGTAGATTATATCAGTAAATAAGTGGGTTGTATCTGTCAGAATGATAATTTCTTACGGCTGGTTCCTCGGCTGATCCATTAAGCTCCGAGTCGTAGACCTCTTCGCGTTTGATTTGGGAGTCAGCCACCAAAATCTGAGACTCGTGGGCCAAAGCGCCTTCCAAGTAAATGGACTGCGGCTCTGGCAAATTTTCTTCCAATTTGGACTGAAATTAGAAAAGGATTGAGTATATTTTTTTAACTTAATATTTGGGAAAGCTTGAACACATATGCGTTGGGGTTAGCTTTCTCAAAATTTGCTCTTGGTAACATAATATTTTACATATTTTTTTTTTTAGGACCTCATTGTTTTTTATTTATGATACACAGTGTTATTGGAATGGAATCAGGAAATGTTATACCACGTCTTTGGGAGTAGTGTGTTAGCAAAATTATTAGTGAGAGAAGATAACTTGAACTTCGTGGTAAGACTTTTAGTTTAAAACTGGCAACAGATAGGGTGGTGCTCCAGTGGCACTTACATGTTCGCTTGGCGATCGGAAAACAGGCGTTGGAGGGCGTCCTTTCCACTTTTGGCCGCCCTCGCAACTGGCTGTTAACTCCATGCCCAGTACCTGCATTTGATTATTTACGTCAACAGATCTACGAAATCAGGATGCAATATACGATTAAAATCCTACCGTTAGTTCCCGCTCAGCGCTCAGATCCCGGCGTTTCCTGCCTCCCTTCGGCGATGTCTCCTGTTCCGGTTTTTGTTCGGTGTTTGCATGTCCGTTGGAAATATTCTGCTTGTCTAGTTGCTCTCTCGTTTTTTCGTTGTCGTTTTTCTGGGGAAACGCACACAGAATGGTTAGAAAGGACTCTCCAAGTCAGCAGAACTACTAACTCAGATCTAAGCAATTTTACAGCCTCAAACGTAAGAAAAATAAACTCAATTACTTCAATTCGTTGTGGTTAGGTGAAACGCAACAAAACTCAATTAGTCGAAGGATCTTGGTTAATAAACAAAAAGATTAAGTACCCGGATACACGAGTGTATCCTGGAGTTATGTTCAAGGATTGCCGTGCCGGACCCTTTGACGGTCTCTAACCTTATTCGAATCAGTTTCAGTATCGCTCGTCGCCCTCTGCTTGTCTTGGCCATTTAATTGCTCGTCGGCCGCGTCTATCAAACCTTGAATGGCTGTAACAACTAAGCCAACACAAAATATCGGGTTTCCAATTTTACAAATTCATTTTTTTTTTTTGAGTGTTTTTTTTTTTTTGGTACACACACATTGGTGGGAAACATGAAAAACGTAGAAACGACAGAGAGTGAATATTTATATAGTAGATTCTGTAGCTTAAACAATGGAATGTGATTGGCGACTATCTTAGTTGGCAATGTGATGTTTCGGTCTAGAGAAAGTGTTCGAATAGATTTCGATAAAGACTTGATTGAATCGTAAAATATGTCCCCATCATACGAGTTTAGTTGAGAGTACTCAGATGCATACACATTTAGAGAGGATTCGTTAGTGGGTGAAAAGATATGGTAATATATCGCATGCCGACAGCAGACAAGCAGGTTAAAGAACAGAGACAGAATCGGAGGAGAGCTCCGACTTCCATGCACTTGTTAGAAGTTTAGAGAGAGAGTGATAGCAGACAGGATGTACAAGAGTCGGGGTTTTCGGGGACGGGGTGAAAGAAACCATTCCAGGATTCAGCTATCCACTAGAAACCAAAACAGAAACGATCTATTTTTGTTTGTACTTAGTTGTAAGCTGAGTTGTTGGTCTGATTTTGGTCTGTTTAACTGACTGATTCTATGTGACTGACTGAATGATGGTTATATTTGTCTTAGAAGTTTGGCTGCCGCTTGAGAAACTTCATGGCAATCATCTTGAAAATGAGAACACAAAAAAGGATAAAACATTAATAAATGGCAGCTGGATCGGTGAACGATGGCCAACTAAAGACACTACGATGATGGTCTAAATGTATCTGAATCGGTTGCATTAGCTGTATCTGGTTTCGGATATCTGGTTTATCTGGATCTGAATGTCCGTTTCGATGGCGATGCTAACCTTTGCCTCATACTGATCGGTGTTCATTTCGGCCACCAGTTGGGCCATCGCCCGCTCCGTGCTCTCGAGCTTCTGGCGCAGCTTCTCGATCTCCATCAGCTGCTCGGCCTCCTTCATCTGCTGGTGGTTCTTCAGCGAGGTGGACAGGCTGCTGGCCACCTCGGTGGCCGACAGACTGGCGTTGTACAGATCCTTTTCGGTGTCCTTGGCGGCGACAGCGGCTCCTATAAAATTGTCGTACGATTTGGCTTGAGTTTCGATATTAAGGGGCCGACAAGAGTCTAACGCAAAAACTAACATATTTACACGGAAAGGAGTGGCAACAAATAATATTCATTTATACATATATATGTGAAGGGGCATGGAGGCGTGATTGCTTCGGGGTTAGTAAATATACATAGATATAGAGTACACAACATCTATAATAAGTACATCTAAGTAAATGAATAAACACATAGTCGCTAGGATACTAAACCAAATGAGGAGGACATATTTCAAAACTCAAAACGCCTTCGTCGAGGTCTAGAAACTCAAGATACGAACGGAACTCTATGATCATCGTAACCATCTGGCTTACTTGTCTGATGCTCTCGCCAGCCTTATATCGTAGGATGATTTTTTTTGTTTTCGATTGGAGTGCGTGGGCAAAGCAGAAGAGTACCAAATTAGTTTTTCGGTTAGGATTGACTAGTGATTGCAATGGCTAATGTGTGTGTGTGTAGAACTACGGTATTAATTATCCGGAGAAAGGGATCCGGAACATCCTGGCACTTACCCAATTTACTTCCTGCCAAATCTTCCACTTGACTGTGGTTCTGTTGGCCGAAAACTTCCTGCCGGAAGGAAGCATTTCCAGGTGCTGGTCCATAGGGCTCATTGGGAACTTGTTTCTTGAACATTATCTACAAGAAAAGGGGTTACCTTTAAGCCTAATTATGATCAAAGAATCGGGGTCACCTTCATTAGAGTGTAGCCGAAAAACACGACGATTCCGATCGTGTAAAGCGGCATCAGGAATCCCATGCTACTGCCCCGCTGCTGTGGCTGGTGCAGTGCACCTGCTCCCATGGGTGGACGCATTCCGGGAATGGGACCGGGCTGAAATAGTATTAGATTAATCATCATCAAGTTGGTTATTGGATTTTTTTATTACAGAAATATCAAAACTAAAGCGCAATATTTTTATCAACAATTATGAATGATTTTATAAATATGTTTAAGTATGTTTAAAATTGGAAGGAATTGAAAAATCTAGAAAAAAATACCGGTGATCAGCTTTATTGTTAAAATTGGCGTTTTCTTTAGTAAGCTTTATTGAAATGCTTCTGATAAATTCAGTTTCAAAACAAATGAAAAGCTTGAATAGAGACAACAAGCATTTAATTGGCAATCAAAGTTGTACTTTTATGTTTTTCCCCTGTAATCAAAAAATCGCGTATCCGCCCCGATGTATTTTGACATAAACAGCGTACAGCTGATTTGTTCTCTTTGGTCATTTTACCCATCAGTTTTCTATAGACAAGAGCAAAATGGAACTGGCGCGTTGAATTTGGCACAAGTTCAATATGTAGAAGCACATTTTGCCGTTCTCCCACTCATCCTTTACAGATTCTTTTTGTGTTTTCTTTAGCGCTGTCTTTTGCCTTCAATTTGCGTGCAGTGTCATAAAAACAAAACCCGAATCCAAATAAAATAAACGTTTCGGTCTATTTATAAAAGACTTCCAACGCGGCGAGCGCAGATATGTCTCATCACAATCAGTGCGACCACAGCCGCCGAAAATGTATAATTGTAGTATTTATCATCCGGAGAATAATGCAAATCGTATGGTTTTAGCGCAACTCACCCGTCCCTCCACGATCCGCGGAGGCGGATTACTGGGTGAACTTTTCCGCTCCACGATCGGAACAGTGGGCGTAGCTGGAATGGCCCTGCCCCTCTCCCTCATGGCCTGATAAATGGATTCCGGATGCAGGTGGGCTGGACGCTCCTGGCGCAGACCTGACAAATACGAAGGATTAACTTTTGACCGATGTACTTCTTTACAAGTTTCACCATTAAAAACCATATTGGGTAAAAAGAGGTAAAAGCACGAAATAAAAATATTGCAAAAAAACATAAATGTATAAGGTAAAAAAATAAAAATTAAATAAATAATGTAATTAAAATAAATTAAAGTTATTAATTTAATATTATTATTATTTATGTGCAACACGTAATATAATGTAGTTCATTAGTAAATGGTTTACCGTTATAGGCATTTTTTAAGCGAAATTAATAGTTAGTAAATTAAAAAAAGTAACAAATAAAGACCACTCGCCACGTACTTATTTCACCCGTATAAACATTGATTTGCTTGCGATACAAATGCGGGCCAAAGGGTTCGACAGTGTCCTTCTTCGAGACATTCATGAACTGCTCCCTGTCAAGCACGACGTCACAACATCCTACAACATCGACAGCCCACAGCACAACAACACCCATAAAGGAAAATAAAAGATAAATAATAAAAAAAAATTGACAAATAAATTAAACATCAAACTAAATAAAAATAGTGATCTTTTCAAACAACAAAAATTGAACATTGATCATGGAGGAAATACAGAAAATTAGATTTCCTTGTTGTTAATCTATAAAATAAGTTTATAAATTATAAGGATGAACTTTTTGGAGTCGCTACAACAGAGCTTTTACTTTAAGATCTGAAGACTCACCTCCGGGTGCAGCTCGTGGATCCTTGAAGTTTTGCTTGGGCGGCGGAACTCCTCCGAACATCATCGGATGGAAGACCTTAGGCCACAGAATGGCGATGCATCCGATCACCGTGACAATGATCAGAGCAGTTTTCTTGGGGGTCATCCCTCCTCGGCGACCGGAGGTCGTTGCTTCGATGTGGCTGTTGCAGGCATTTTGTGATCGGTTTAGCTCTCGGTTTAGTGGGCTTCCGTTTCGTATGGCTATTGTTGGTATTTAAAGCTAGGTGTTAAGGCAATCGTCCTTATATATTCCTGATCGATTTGGTTCGTTATTAGCTCTCGGCGAGCTGTTGACTATGCGATGTGTTTCCAGTTTTTGGTTAACTTTGACATTGGCTCATGTTGGCTGGTTGGTTTCTGTACGTTTAAAGCATTATCTGAAAGATACGTAAATGCATTATGTGGTTGGTTACACGCTTCAGTTAACCGATTCTTTTTTTGGAGTTTGGTTCACATCACTGGCCACGAGCCACAGCGCAAAATGCTGTATACGTTTTAATATTGTTGAGGGAAAACAAAAAAGTTTATTACATAAATAGCGGTCCCGATCTTTTTTATTTTTAGCTCGCGCAATTCGCTCTTTTCGGTACGTCTAATAATTCTTTATAATTTTCACTTTTCCTAGCACACAAATCACAGGGGCTCTTCACAATTAACGACCGCATAAATAATATCGAAGGCTTTTCCAAAATAACGTTTTAATTTCGATTTGGACAGGGCTTCCTGGACCTGAAAACTGGACAGAGCGAGTGCTTACGCAAAGTTCGAATGTTGTTCCCGAACTGGCCAGGCAAATTTTTGAAACTATTAGCAAATTTTCGGCAGATCACACATCTGAAGACCCGACGCGACGAAACCCATTCGGGTGCGCTCTTCCTCATCATAATCGTCGTCGGACATTATTTTCCTTTATTTTTGATGAGACAAGTGATTTGCAGCTTGGGCCTGCACCGGGATTTCCGAGAGTTGTCCGCCAAACATTCATACAGCGGTTGTCAAAACTTAATCATTTTCGGATTACACACTAGGTACCGATTTTGTTTTTTTTTTAATTATTCCCAATAATTTAACAAACTTTTTTACAAAGTTGTAGTTGCAAAATTGTTATGTTTAGGTGTATCACAAAAATCTATTTTTTTAAATTATCTTTTTTTTGATTACCTGACCAATTAAAAAGAAATTACAAGCAAATACTTAACAGAAAAAAAGAGCTTTCACTTATTTCTACAATGTTGGCCTCCGCTGTATGCATGCGAATTTTTCATGTTTTGATATTTTCTTTTTAGCAGCTTCTTCTCTCTTGTTATCATACACACATACACACATTAGCAAGTATTATGAGTTTTCCCGACAATTTCCTTTTCGCTTTCGAAAGCACTGATTGGCAAGCGTTGAAAGTAAAATTGTTAAGCCGTTTACTGCTGTTATTTTCACTTAAGTCTTTTATTTTAGCACCTGGGTTTTAATTTGGCTTTGCTTGGCCCTTTTTTCTTTTTCATGCTTTGAGTGCTTTTAATTTTGAAGGCGCAGCATTGTGAGTTCAATGTCGTTTGACTTAAGACTCATCACTTATTTTTAAAATATGAATTTCAACCGTGAAGAGTTCGCACACTTTATCCTTGGCATTCTTCTCAAGTTCTAAGTTAGCTTTCTTGTTTTATATTTACCAGTTTTATATGTTGATTTGTTGGTTTATTCAATATTCGTTTTCTTATCTAATTACGGCTAATTTCAAACTGTTTGTTTGTCGTTATAAATTTCTCTGCCAGAAAGCAGCAGCAATAATAATTGATTTTTCAGCCTGGCAGTCGATATCTCGATGCTTGTGCTATCGATATTTTTTAGTCGTTGATTAAGTTTTTCCACCATGCATCTGTATCCAAAAAATCAAATACAATTAAAAGTATTTAATGGGAATCGAAGTTTTTTATGCCAACTAAATGTTTTTTTATAACTTATACGGCTAACAGTACTCAACTCAGCTGGTAGTGGAAACTATACATTTTATTACACTGCAGTAATGAGAATTTTTCCTTGCTCCGAAGTAGGGTCACACTTGAGCCCAATCTACTGTTTTCATCTCCTTTGTGAAAAGTTAAGATTTTTAAAAACGCACTTACCGCTGGGCCTTCGAATACCACCGTGACTTTGAATATTCCTAGTCGAACGGAGACTTCGAGTTGAATAAGTATAAAATCGAGAGTTACTGCGTGCCTGGCCTGGCTGGTTTCGAGGTTTTCTCCCACGAAACTGGAGCTAACAATGGACAACGAGTCGTGGGCCTGTTCGTCGGTGGAGAAGGACCTGACCCGAGTCGTCAGTAAGCTGGAGCAGCTGCACGAGAATGCGTCGGCCGACATTGGGGACATAGCAACACAGATGTCCGAGCTGGTCGAGGTCCTCAGCAGAGCGGAGCAACTGGTGACCACATTGAACTCGAGCACTCAGGTTTCCCAGGATGATCCCATGGGCGATGGGGTGAGCATGCAGGTGGAGACAGAGCCAACGGCCCCACAGCGGCTGAACGAGCGACAGGTGGAAAGCATCCGGAAGGCCATCAGCAGGTGTAACGAACGGGTGCAAAAGCTCTCCACAGAGCATCGTGATCTGCACGGATCCATCTCAAAAATAGGCAAGGCCATTGACCGCAACTTCAGCGCCGATTTCACATCCACCATGCGCGTGGATGTTCTGCAGGACGAGGAGAACCTAATGCTGCTCAACAAAGCTATTGCTAAGCACTACTGCCGCCAAGGAATGGATGATGTAGCCCGCACTTTGATCCGCGAGTGCAAGATGCCGGCGGAGCATGCCCAGGATGTGTTCGACTCGGAGCGAGAGTTTGCCGACATTTATGGCATGTGGGTGAAGATTCAAAAGCGGGATCTTACCGATGCCCTCAAGTGGGCAAAAATGTACTCGCAGCAGCTTAGTGACCGCCACTCGCTAATAGAATTCCGGCTGCATCGCATGCGTTTCATGCAGCTGGTCTCCTACGGCATGGACTCACAGCGCGAGGCCATTTGCTATGCCCGGCTGAACTTCAAGAAGTTTGCCGTGCGCTACGAGCATGAAATTGCCAATCTGATGGCCAGCTTCATCTATCTCCCTAGTGGCCTGGAGAACTCACCCTACAAACACTTTCTGGGTCAGGAGATGTGGACCGAGTTGTCGTTCATATTCCTCAAGGACGCCTGCCAACTACTTGGCATCAGCAAGAACTCAGCCCTCTCCGTCGTAGTCAACGCCGGCTGCACGGCCCTGCCCGCCCTGCTCAACATCAAGCAGGTAATGCAGTCGCGCCAGGTGCTGGGCATGTGGAATGGCTGCGACGAGCTGCCGATCGAGATCGACCTGCAGCCCGAATTCCGCTTCCACTCAATATTTGCCTGCCCCATCCTGCGCCAGCAGACCTCCGAGGACAACCCGCCCAAAAAGCTGACTTGCGGTCATGTCATCTCAAATGATGCGCTGCACAAGCTCAGCAATGGCCACATACTGAAGTGCCCCTACTGCCCCGTGGAGCAGAATGCCGAGGAGGCTGTCCGCATCTACTTTTAAGCCACATCAATGTATTCACCCTATGATTATCACCGTCTGTTTGGCTAGAGGCTCAGGCAGTTCGAGGACTGGTGTTGGTTGGCCGGCTTTCCTTAACAAAATCGCAAACATTTTAAAATAGCTGCTTAGATTCATGTTTAGACAAATTCGCAGGGCGGAATCGAACTTCCTGGGCCGTGTGTTGTGCGTGTGTCCCACATCCTAACCGGCAAATTAGAATTAATATATATATACTGTGTATTTAAAGCAAACGAGATATGTGTTTTTATGTAGACTCCATGTTTAATGAAATATGAATCGTCCAAAGTGGGTTTTCTAGTGCCTATGCTTGTGTTTGTGCTTATCGCTCCGGTGTCGCCCAGGAGATGACTCCTCTCTCCGAGAAGACCGTGAGCTGAAGGATGTTGGAGAACTGCGTGAGCGAGATGAACTGGCTGCAGGGCTATCATATCGGGAGCTGCGAGAAGATCGCTCCCCATATCGCTTTGGTGATCCCGACGGACTACGCGTTCGATTGCGTTTCGAGGATTTCGAGGAGCGGGAATTATCCGGCGAGTAGTCCCGACGTTTGGTTTCTGCTGTGGCGTGAGGCGAATGCGATCGCTTCTGAGCACTGCTGCTAAATTGGGCTCCACTCTCACTAACTTTGGAGCTCCTTGATTTACTGTGCATGTAACTTAGCGGCGAATCCACAACAGAATCAGATCTTGAGTCCTAATAATAATAAATTCAATTATTAAATTAAGATATACCATTCATAATAAAAACGTGCCTGTTTTAGCAAACGCTTGCGGAAGTATTCCACCTGTTCAGCAACAGTCCAGCCTGGTTCCAGGCGCCTTTTTCCAGACTCCAGCTCGTCCTGATATTGAATTGCTTTTAATTCAATATCCCTTAGCTTCTGGCGATTTTCCTCGGTGAACTTTTGGGAGTTGTCGTCGTCGCTATCGTCGTCCGAGCTGAAAAACTTTGGAGGATCTGGTGGATCGAGCGTATCCCATTTGCTGGTAGTAATCGCCTGCGCTTCTACTTGCTGAGGGTCAACTGTCTCCCACTTGGAGGGTATGAAACCGGGCATTTTAGGAGCAGATTTATTTTCTTTTTCGAGCGGAACACCATCAAGATCCTCATCTACTGAAATTTTAAATATTTAGCATTATTAATGGGATCCTTTTAATAAGGAATCAGATGCTTACAAGGTACGCCATCGATTTCATCAAGGTATTCATCTCTCTTGGGCGTATCACGTTTCGGAGTAACAGCATCTGCATCAGGCAATGCCCGCTTCAATGCGCTTTTGAGCAAAGCAGCTCCATCAAGTGGCACTCCGTCTAGATCTTCGTCGTCTTTCTCCTCTCCGGAAAGCGGTGCACCGTCGATATCTTCATCTAGTGCATCCTCAGAGCGCGTTTCCTCACCTTGAGGTGGAGAACCGACCGGCATGACGTACTGAAAACAAGTTTCCTTTATAATACATGAACAATGTGTAATGCTAATCAATGACTTACCGGTTTGCCTAAAAATTTCGCTGTCAACTGAGCCAAAAACTCTTTTGGGTAGATAGTCCAATCCTCCCAGGTGCGAATCACATTGCAGACTCTGGATTTGAAGCCCTCCGCTTTCAATCGGCTCTCAATGTTTTGATAGTAATTATGCAGATTTTCAAAGATATCCAACAACTGCTTCTCCACACTAAAATAGAAAAGTTTTCAAGTATAAACCTCTTTTCATTTTTTAACTTACGATTTTCGAAAGAAGGAAGCATTAGCCACCTTAACCGTGCAGTTGTGCAATATATCTGAGATCAGATACAGTCTAGCAATCTTTTTCGAGGCCAGTGTATTTATGTTGGACAGAGACTCGGCGATGCACTCGCAAATTTCATCAGCTGCATCTGCATGCTCTATACAGAAAATCATGGCGTCCCCAATGCGAGATCGTTCTGGAGTAAGTTGCCTAATTAGATCCTCAAGACGATCTCGTTGCCTGTAATTAGTAGAAAAATTAACATAAATACTCCCAGAATCATTTTCTTTGCTGTACACACGCATTTGACAATGCTCCCTTGTTTACAACAGGAGCGTCCGGATCCACGACGAGCTCATCTGGCATGCCTTGCGTATAAAAGTTAGCAATCGGAGGCCGCCAGACCGGACCGTTCTTGAACATACGAAACTCGTCCTCCCTCCACTCATTGGGGGTGTCTCCCTGCAGCAGGGAAAACAGCTTCCACCTATAATAGATGTGTGCTGGGCTCTCGTTATCAAACAGGAAAGAAAACAAAGGATTCTCCATTTCGCGAATCATGATCAGAGCTTCAAACATCGGTCCTTCGCGGATGACAAACTCTATCATCCGATGGATAACATTAAGCACAGCTCTGTAAAACAATTAGGTTAGATATTTATGTTTGGGGGTTTATTTGCAATTCGTACTTCTCTGTTGGAATATGAACTTTAACGACGCATTTGGCCAATATCTGAAAAGGGAATATTTTGAGCTATAATCCTTTAGGATAAAAACGATTTGTCACTTACGCGCTCCATGTTTTCCTTGTCCTCTTCCTTGTCGAACTCCTTGTAGTTTTTCTTCGGCAAAACGTCTGCCTCGCTTGGTGGCGGTTGGGCATTAAAGGGCAATCCCGATGGAGGAGGAGGAAGGGTCATTTCCAGCAACGCTTGCGGGGCAAAAATAGGCGTGTTCATTATTGGTACCGTCTTTCCTGTAAGAAAAAAACATACATATGTACAATAAGATAAGTCCAATTGCGGGTTTTAAAAGTTCTCTAATGGAGATCATATAACTTACCCCATCCTAGTCGCATTTCGTACCCCATGATGTAGCGTCCATTGAGCGTCCTCAGCGCCCTTTCAGCATCTTTTCTGCTCATGTAAGCGACGAAGCCGCAATTGCGACCCCTTTGCTTTTCCTCCTCAGAGCGGGGCCACATAATCTTGATACTGGCCAATGGTCCGTATCGCCCAAAGATTTCCATAAGCTGCTGCTCGGATATTTTCGGATTTAGGTTACCGAGGTAAAGGTTGGTCGTATTTGGATCGCCGGTATCAAAGGATCCCGATTCCTTGGAACTGTTGGAAGCCTGGGAGTTGGTGGAGGCACTGCTGCTCGCCGCTGGAGCACTTGCTGCCGCCGGTTGCTGAACTGGTTGGGAATGGCTTACAGCTAGGTGCTTGTATTTGTGGCGCTCCTCGCGTTCTTCTTGGATTCTGTAAGAGTATTATGATTAAATGTTGGTACGTAGGGCTATGGACAGGGCTTACTGTCTCAGCTCCTCTTTGAACAGCTCCAAGTTGCTTTTCTTCTTCTCCTGGTTTTTCTTTTTAGAGGGCCTGACTCCTTTTTAAGATCCGAGGCTAGGGTTTTAGCATATTCCTCGACCTTGTCGGTGGAGCTCTTTTCCAGAAGCTTGGATACGGGTTTGTAGAGTTTTCCCTTCTCCGATTTATCCTCTCTCCTCGATCCAGCATCATATGTGCCGGCTTTGACCCAAACTTTGGAGGAGGGTGTGGGTGCTTCTTGGAAGGTTTCCACAAACTCTTTGAAGGCCTGAAAGTGAAAAGTGTTTTTTATCGTATCGGAAAAGTTTATTATTAGTCACTTACATGTGCTGCTGCTGCTGCATCTTCTTTTTTCTTCTGGTCCTCAATCTCCTTTTTTGACAATTGCCGCTTTGAGAACGTACCCACGGTAAAAGCCTCCAACTTCTTTTCACTAATTCGCTGAAGACAAAATCGAAAAGTGGATACATTTTTCAGCCAAAGACTCAGGAGACCCTTACCTTCAAGCTGGCCGACGGCGCAGCCGGTTCTTTCGACTTATTTCCTGGTTTACTCATTTTTTCCAGGACAATTTCATTATATGCAGATACACTTCGAGGGTCAGTAGGACCATAACATGTTACCCCTGGGATATCGGACAAGCAGTGCATATAGTAAGCAGTAACAGACCCAGCAGTGTGACCAAGCCAGTCCAATTAGTACGCCCGTTGGACAGAAATATCGGAAGACCGAAGTCTCATCGCCAGCGCTATGTAAATTCCAACTTTTTATTTTAATTATTTGAAATAAATGCAAAATGGATATCTGCCGCCTGTGCTTGCGCGGCGTGAGCGGCGCCCAGATGTGTCTACAGATCTTCGATGTGGACTCGGCGGAGAACAAGGTGGCGGAGGTGCTGCGCCAGCATTTCTGGTTCGAGGTAAGCGCTCTCCTGCCCCTCACCCACTTTCAATCTAAATTCAGCAATTTCACGGGATGCCCCAATCCGATTTTGAAGGTCCTGCCCAACGACGAGATATCCAAGGTCATCTGCAACGTCTGCTGGACGCAGGTGTCGGAGTTCCACCAGTTCTACGTGTCCATACAGGAGGCCCAGGTGATATACGCCACCACTTCCAAGTTCAAGCAAGATCCGGAGATGGTGAACACATCCTGGCCGGAGGAGGTGCTCATGCCGGCCGATGTCCTCGCGGTGGACAACGATGTCAGTGCCCAGCTAAATGTGAACCCCCTGGACGAGCTGGACTTGAGTCAGCCAATGTCCCCGGAAGACACCAAGGTGGGCATCAAAACCGAACGCCAGTCACCCGAACTGGACTTTACCTTCGAAGACACAAACAACGATCATGACGAGGATTACGAGGACGATGAGGAAGAGGAGGACCCCGACGACTTGATTGTGACCCGAAGTGGGCGGAAGCGCAAACGGGAGGTGGCCAAGCCTGCCAAGACGAAAAGAGCTGTGGGCAGAAAGGGCAAAGAGAAGATTGTGACAAAGCGGGGACCGCCCAAAAGGATATTTAAGATGGAACGCCTGCCGCCGTTCTGCAAGGAGGATGAGGAACTGATAAAGCGCTACATAGTCATGGGCTGCGAGCTGTGCATATTCCTGGCCGAGGATTTTGACGGCATACGCGAGCACTTTAAGGAGAAGCATCCGGAGGAGCGTCCCTACATCAAGTGTTGCGGCCGCAAGCTCAACAAGCGCTGCCTCATCCAGGAGCATGCGAGGAGGCACGAAAATCCCGAATATATCAAGTGTGTAACTAAATTCATTGACATGTTTTCTTATTAATAATGTCTTCGTCGACAGATGCAAGGACTGCGGTAAGGTGTTCGCCAATTCCAGCGTTCTGCGTGCTCACTGGCTGGTCCACCACGTGCCCGACGAGGAGTGCGACTTTCAGTGCGAGGATTGTGGAAAACGCTTCTCCCGGCGCAATCTGCTGGAGCTGCACAAGGGCTCTCATGTGCCCGTTAACGAGCGCAAGTTTATCTGCCCGCAGTGCCCCAAACACAACGCGTATGTACTTGTTAAGTTACTGACTATTATTCTTCCATGTTATTCACTCCTTTCTACAGTTTTGCCACGGAGTACCACATGCAGGTCCACATCAGCATGCAGCACCGCAAGGCGGCAAACATTTGCCATGTCTGCGGCAAGAAGATAAAGGACAAGGCCGTCTTCGAAAAGCACGTTCGCCTGCATTTCGAGGAGAGCGGACCACGCATCAAGTGTCCACGACCCGATTGCGAAAGCTGGCTGAAAGACGAGGACAATCTCAAGCAGCATTTGAGGCGCCACAACGACGAGGGCAAACTGTTCATTTGCACGGAATGTGGCAAGAGCTGCAAGAACTCCCGGGCGCTGATCGGTCACAAGCGCTACTCCCACTCGAATGTGATCTACACCTGCGAACAGTGCGGCAAAACCTTCAAGAAGGACATTAGCCTTAAGGTGGATAGATCCCTTTTTGCTAAATATTGTAGTGTTTTTCAAAACACTTCTTTTTCAGGAGCACATGGCCCAGCACACTGGCGAACCACTCTACAAGTGTCCCTTCTGTCCCCGCACGTTCAACTCTAACGCCAACATGCACTCCCACAAGAAGAAAATGCATCCGGTCGAGTGGGACATCTGGCGCAAAACGAAGACGGGAAGCTCCCAAAAGGTCCTGCCAAGCGCCCAAGTGGCTCAGATGTTCAGGGACGACGCCGATGCCGCAGCTATTGCCAATGACTACACAGCTTAGGCCCAGGAACGCTTAGGGATAGCGCTCCGCGAAAGAATCGCTTAGTTTTTGATTTACCTTTGTTTCAAAACAAAAAATATATATAATAGGAATTATTTGAAACACTGTTCTTTTAAAAGGGTGGTGTTGTTATACAATGGTTTTTTCAGGTAATTTCTGTCTCTATAAAAATGATAGTTCAATTAGGTTTTCCCTTTCAAGTTCGTTTAAGATATTAATAGCGCGTCATTGAAAAACTAATAATCCAATTTCTTGTAACTCGAATTTTTGGAAATTAAAGTTACCAAAAAGTATGCAAGGCAAATGCTTACAACTTTGAAAGGTGCCAACCCTAAACAAGCAATTTCTAACATTTTCACAGTCCGGCAGCCTTTCCAAGTTAACTGATTAAAGCTGGTCACACTGAGGGTAAAACCAAAACAGCCTGCGTGGACAAACAAAAAAATGAACGTAAGCTTTATCCATTTAAAAAACCCTCCACAAGGCTTTCCACTCCATCATTACGATTTACCCTGTTACAGGAGTCCGAGATCCCTATTGACATTCACACGCTGAAGCTCCAGGACTGGCTTATTAGTCGCAGAATTGTTCCTAAAAATGTTCAGCAAGAGATTAGAGAAATCCACAAGAAGATTAGTAATGCCTTGCAGGACATGCCGTCCAACGAGCAGCTAATTAAGCTACTATCCAGGACAAGTAGGTTTATAGTTTCCCAAAGATGTGCCAGCTAAACTATTCTCTTCCTTGCAGATATCAATTACTACCATGTGAAGGAGATTATTGAGATCCTGAAGCAGACGGAGAAGGATACGAAAAGCGTTTTCGGAACCTACGGCAGTCAGCGCATGAAGGACTGGCAGGAAATCAGTCGCCTGTACGAGAAGAATGCCATATACTTGGCCGAAACAGCGCAGATCTTCGTGCGAAATGTTAACTACGAGATTCCTGGAGTGCGCAAGCAAATGGCCAAGTTGGAACAGCAAACGGACGAGAGCCAAAAGCGTGCTCATGACCTGAATAAACCCGAGAGTCAGCTCCTGGCTGAGCACGCCGCCCTGCTGGAGCAATTGGGCGTCAAGGGGGAGAACCTGCATGCAGAGTTCGTGGATGTTCTGGCTGGTCTGCCTGATCTGTATGCTAAATCCCTGACCGACATCGGCAAGATTCAGCCGGGCATCGATCTGTACGCCGAAGTCAGTGGCCACAAGCAAGCCCTGCCTATCCTGAGCCACCTGGTCGAGTTCGGAAACACCACTGTGTATCAGTACATCCACAAGGAAGCTCCTCTGGCTGTCGAAGAGCCACCCATCCGGCTCAACCTTAGCGAGGATCTCATCGCCAACAAGGATGACAACGCTCCCCTGGAGATTGACTTCGGAACAGACGACAATGGAGGAACTTCGTCGACCGTTTCGGCGGAGATAATCGATTACGGTGACTTTGGCAGTGGGGACTTGCAGGAAAACGACGGTGGCAATATTGATTGGGGCATCGAAAGTGCTCCCACCGATGCGGTTGAGATCAACTTTGACATTCCCGTCGAGGAGTATGGAATTGTGGTGGAGGGCACTGGCATGGATGGTGGCACTGCCAAGGGTAAGCACTATATCACTATATTTCAATTTCCACACTAATATAACACTTGATTTAAACCAGGCGATCAGGCTTACACTTTACTGGACTCTCCCAACTATCGCGATCGTTTCCTTGACGAAATTTATGAATTGGAGTCATTCCTGCGCCTGCGGCTCTACGAGCTCAAGCAGCTGGAGTCCTCGAGCGACATTATGTTCTCCCTTATGGACAACATTGCCACTCACGATGCGGAGAGCATCAGAAAGATTCTTAGCTCGGTGGAGAAAATTATACAGCAGACTTCCGACGAGCAGACGCGGCATCTCTTCCAGCTGAAGCACTCCCCGAAATATGCCAATCTGCTGGCAACGAAGCTGCAGCAGATGAAGAAAGCCGTTGAGAAGTTGCGATCCACGCGAGAAACACTGAAAAAGCGCGCCATTGAGCTAAGGGAGCAGCGGCAGCAGATCAATCCCGTCCTGGAGGAACTGATTGCCCAGACCCGCACTTTGCAGTCGCACATCGAGAAGGACATTTCCAAGCGGTACAAGAATCGGGTGGTTAATTTGATGGGAGGCGTTAACTAATGTAATTAGGTGTTTGTTAAATAAACTGAACAATCGGACAAGATATACTCCCTTTGTTCAAAGAAAAAATTGATGATTTTTTTAACAAAAAATTATTTTAAAGAAAAACGATGGTTTTTAAATTTTTTAAAAGAAGTTTATTTTTATTTTGCTATTTTTATTAAATATACAAATTTTATTTATATTGTGTTCATTTTTTTAATTGCCATTTGCTTCTTTTTTTGTATCCAGAATACAAACCTAATTTTAGTGAAGTTTGTTGTTGGTTTCATTTTTTTGTTGCTTTCGTTTTGTTCATAAAAGTATGCTTACACATTTAACGTTTTAAACTTTTACTTAAATTTAAAATTCTTAAGCTGCTGAATTTTAATAATGTGTAAAACAAGAACAACGCTGTGATTAACTTAAATGTTTTGGGCCTGTCTTGAATTTAAGGAAATTCATCGAAAAAATTTATTAATTCGGAAATAGAATGGGGGGAGCTTCAAAAAATTCGGAAATGCTATAAAGTAGCTATACAAGGTTTGGGTGTAAAAAGCCACAAAGTGTTTGGGGTATACATTGGGATATCAACTAGACTTAGGCACTAATCTAACAAAAGTGTGGCTGGCGGTAGTCAGCAGAAAGGCTTTATAAGTATAATCAATTCGTTAACTAAATAGAAAATAACAAGCACTATCGAAAATACAATTAATTATACGGGGAAGAGGCCTCATGATATGGTTACAACTTTGTGTGGCGCTAGGCCCGGGCTCAAAGCGTCGTGTACTTTTGTTTTCTTTCGTTTCCGTTTGTGATGCATGACCCGACCCATGCTCAAATCAATCATCTACAATATGGGTATGGGGGTTCTCGGGGTTCACATAGATATCATATGTATGAATATAATGTTGGATTGTTTTGATTATACAGCAACGTACGTATTTGTGTAGTGTTGTATTTATAACTCGTATGGTAAATGTTAAATAAGCATAAAATTTGTTCGAAAGTTGCTTGTGGTCTGCCATTATTGTAGTTACTTAGGCTAATATATATGTTTCATATAATTTATATATATATATATATTTATTATTTATAGGTTTTAATTTAATTCTTGCTTTTGCTTTGCTTAGGTGCTACTATGTATATGTCTGAATTTAATTATGTATACATGCTTCTGTTTATTTGATGTACTTTGTAAATGATTACATTTTATACACGTATCATAGCGCCGGTCGGATTAGAAATTCTGAGCTGTTACCGCTCTAATCTGTATCTGTATGTTATTGCTCTTAATTTCAAAATAAACGTGTGGGTTGCCCTATCTACAACTCCCCGCGTTCCACACATCCACCCGCCCCCTACACTTACAATCTAAGCGAACTTGTTCCGTGTTCCGTATTCCGTTTCCTGTTTTCGGTTGTTTCTTCAATGAAAAACATCGCCTCTCTTGGCTGGCTCTGTCCACCAGCGGTGGTGGTGATGGTGATTGGGCTGCTGAGCTTGGTGCTGCTGATGATGATTCTTCGACTGTCAATCGTTCTTCACTGGGTAGTAGATTAGATCCGGTTGCTGGCCATGCGGCGGCATTTGCTGCATCATGCCACCCATCATGGGCGGCAGCACGCCCTTCGTATCGTCTCCCAGCATCGAGTAACCCACGCCCACGCCCACACCGACTCCTACTCCTGTTCGGTCGTAAACATTGCTGTGCGGCGCTGGCGGAGGCAGCAGATGCGGATGCAATGGCTGTTGTTGTTGCGCCTGCAGGCCATGTGGGTGGTAGGGCTGAAAGCTGTTTTGCTTCTGCTGTTCGCTCACCAGCTGGTCACTCAGATGCTGGTCGTAGGCTCCTCCGTAAACGCCGCCCCCACTGCGCATCAAACCGCTCGCATAACCTCCCGCGTTGTGATGCTGCTGTTGCGCCGCCTGCTGTTGTTGCTGTTGCTGGGCCGCCGTCGTTTGTTGCTGCTGCATCAGGTCGAAATTGTACTCCATTGGCGCGGGATTTGTGTCAATGAGATTCGTGAGTATGCTACCGATGTTGTTGTAGTTGTGGGGATCACTTGAGTTCGCCTGTCCCTGGGCTTGTTGCTGCTGTTGTTGCGCCGCCTGCTGTTGCTGCTGTTGTGGTGGCTGCTGCTGCTGTTGTGGAGACTGGCTAAACCCTGGCGCTGGCCACATGTGCTGGAAGCTCATCAGATCACCAGCGAGGGTTGGATCTGGTTGCTGGGCTTGTGGGTGTTGCTGTTGTTGCTGCTGCTGCTGCGGTTTGCTCACTGCTTGTTGCTGCTGCGGGGAAGGCGGCACATTCATTGGAAGCCCTAGAAACTCGGGCGATTCCACTATATAGAACTTGTTATCTTTGAGCTCAACCTGTTGGTTGTTGGGTGCATTGCCAAAATTCATGTTGCCCCAGGAGTCGGTTGCCTGTTGCTGCAAGAATTGTTGCTGTTGTTGTTGTTGCTGCTGCTGCTGTTGTTGTTGTTGTACTGGAGCAGGTTGTGGCGACTGCAGTCTCGCATGCTGAGGAGAATGCGATGGCTGCTGATGCTGCTGTTGCAGTTGCTGCGCCGCAGGATGATGGTGCAGCGGCGAACGCTGGTTATGCCGATGTTGCTGCTGCATCATCAGATGTTGGTGGTGCATCGGCGGCATGTGGTGGGGTGAGCTAAAGTGCTGCTGCGCTTGCTGCTGCTGCAACTGCGAGGGATGCGGAGGATGTGGACTCTGGGGCGTGTGACTCCGCATGTGCTGCTGCTGTTGGGCGAGATGATGTTGTTGTTGCTGCTGCTGAGGCTGTTGCTGTTGCTGCTGTTGTTGCTGATACTGGCTGATCAGTTGATGCTGCTGATAGGCACCCGCTGCCGGGTTCGACTCAAAGTGAAATTGACCATCCTGCCCGAAACTATTCATCCGCTGCAGATGAAGTTCTCCGGGCGCAACTCGCTGCTGTGTCGTCGGCTGCTGCTGCTGTTGTTGTTGCTGCGGTTGTGTCGGCGGCGGCGTCGGATGTTGCTGATGCAATGCGTTCTGGGGCTGCTGCTGCTGTCCTTGCTGTTGTTTCTCTGCACTAAAGCTCTGATTGTACATGGAATTCTGCTGAGATTCACTCGTCGACACCGAGTGCTGCGATGTTGATGCCGTGGAGGACTGCGAACTGTTGCTGCTGACCATCGCCGCATTGAACTGATCCTGCTGCAGGCAGCCCGGAGTCGTGGAGACTGGCGGTGGCGGCGTTGGTGTGGCCGCAGCGCCCTTCTGCTGTTGCTGCTGCGAAGATGCGGCTGCTGCAGCGGCGGCGGCGGCTGCTGCCTGCGCTTTCGCCTTACTGGTAACTGCCTTTTTGCTAGCTTTAACTGGCGGCGGTCCAGGCATATCCGGCAGGCTACCCATCTCTGCTGGTATAAGAAATGAATTTTAGTTTATTCTCTAGGGAATTAAAAACTATTTTTAGCCATACCTTCTTCGTTTGCCTTGGGAAAGCGCTGCTTTCCCTTCTTAGGAGGCGGAGGCTCGTTACCGTGCATTGTCTGCTTATGGCGCACCAAATGCGTTTTCCACTTGAAGGTCTACAATTAAATATTGCATTTCATATATAAATAAAGATATATAATAACAGTTCATAATAAAGTTAAATTATGATTAAAGCCCACCTGATCGCAGTAGTTACAGCAGTGCGGCCTTTCCTCCGAGTGCGAGGGAAGATGCCGCTGCAGCGACTTCGCGGATCCGAAGCGCTTGCCGCACAGCGTGCACTTGCACTCGGACACGTCCACGTGGGCGTTGCTGTAGTGCTCCTTAAGCGCGGGATATGTGAAGTAGGACGAGCCGCACAGATCGCACACGTAGGGCCGCTTGATCTCGGTGTGCAGCTGCACGTGTCGCTCCAGGTTGGCTTTCAGCGTGAAGCGGTTATGGCAAATGTGGCACTCGAAGAAGTTGTCGCGCTTGTGCACGCGAACGATGTGCTGGTACAGGGCGTTCTTCGACTGAAATTCCTCGCCGCACACCTCGCAGATGGCCCCGTCCGCCTTGTGGCCCGTCTCCTCGAAGTGTTGCTGCAGTTTCTTCTGCGGAAACTTTTGGCCGCACTCGCCGCAGGGAAAGGCTGCAAGAGTAAATATGTTAGTCGGCCGTTCAAAAAGTTTGTTGCCAAGTTGATGCTGTTTCCAAGGAACTCCGGGGGAGAACTTGGTGAAATTTACATTCACGGCGACTCACTTTTGATTTCCTTCTTGTTGTGCGACTCCACGTGGGCGTGGAACTGCTGTTTCCGTGAGTACGACTCTCCGCACGTTTCGCACACGAACGGAAACTCCTTTACGTGCATGGTCCGGTTGTGGTGGATTATCTCCTGGAAATTAATAAGTCTTTGTTAGTTACAATGCCAGGTTTCGAAATATAATTAATGGTATATCTTGGTTGATTCTTTTCTGTATTTTTCGATTGTCTGCTGCTGTAGTAACTATCTACTTACCTCCAGAGTATGCCCGTTGCGCTGGCCGCAGTCATGGCAGTAGCCCGGATGCATCTTGTAGTGGTCCAGCAGGGATTTCCGCTTGCGATACGACTTGGGACAGAGCAGACAATTGTAGCTTGGCTTGTCCTTTTTGCTGCCGGGGGTCTGACCTCCACTGCCTCCACTTCCACTGCCGTGCTGCGAGGGCGGCGCCTGCAGAGAGGTGCTGCTACTGCTGCCGCCGTCGATCAGCTGCTGTTTGGCAGCGTCCAGCTCGTCTAGGTCGTGGTCCAGATCATCGTCGTCCTCGTCGGGCGACAGGTCATTGTCGTCCAGCTCCAGGGAGGAGTTCAACTGATTACTGACGGGAGGAGGGTCACCCAGATTGGACAAGGCAGCCAAAGCTGGCATCTGACGATTGCCCATCATCGAAGATCCGTGCTGGGGGAAATCGTCCGGCATCATCATCATCTGCCGCTGTTGATGCGGCATGCCCACATGCTGTTGCTGCTGCTGCTGCTGCTGTTGCATCATGCCGCCCATCATCGATAGGGGATTATTGCTTGAGTTAAAGTGTTTTTGCTGCTGGTGCAGCTGAATCTCGCTGGTGTGGTCCGAGCTTCCTCCTGGCATAATGGCGTTGGTGTTGCCATGAGCCTGGGCGCCCTTTAAATCCCTATTTTCCATGGGCATGGGCAAGTGTTGTGATAGTTTCATCGACTCTATCAACTGATCCTGCGCCTGCAGCGATAGTTGCGGGCGGTGTAGACTACCATTGTTGTTGTTGTTATTGTTGTTATTAATATTATTATTATTGTTGCTGTTGCTGTTGCTGATGCTATTGCTTGACGTAAGGCCGTTGATCACAAGATTTGCGTTGCTGCTGCTACTTCTGAAAAGCAAAAACAAACAAATGATGTTAACAATTAATATGCAGACGGAAAAGTCTATTTGAATTGAGCTCGGTGCGAATTCTCTGAAGAATATGACCTATTTTTAATGCTCAATCCCTGACTGGTTTGGATTTAAGAAATATACTCACAGGTGATGGGAATGATGACTGTTGTTCTCGAGGATCACCCCGCCGATGCCATTCCCATTTCCGCCGCTCCCGCTCCCGCTGCTGCTGCTGTTGCTGCTGTGTCCGCTGGCGCTGTTCACACTGCCCAAGGCACTGCCGGCGCCAGCTAACATGTCATCGATCTCGGGCTCCATCTCCAAACCATCGATCAGACGTCCCGCGCCTACGCCCTCGTCAATAAACTCCTCGAACTTCATAATCTCTTGGGCAGCCGACGACAGCTGCGATTCCGTTTCCGACTCCAACTCGGAGTCGCCAAACGAGATGGCCGGCAACTGCTGCTGCTGCTGGATCTCCTCCAGTTGCTGCCGCTGCTGCTGATGAATCTCCTCCAGCTGCTGTTGCTGCTGCTGTTGGATCTCCTCTTGATTCCGCCGCTTCTGCTGCTGAATCTCCTCATCCCGCTGCAGCTCGGTCTGCTTCATCAGGATGACCAACTGGCGACGTTCCCGCTGACGACGCCACTCCTCCAGCCGCTGCTCGCGCAGCTCCTTCAGCACTCGCGCCGACGGCGTGGTGCCCAGCAGGCGTCCGGTCACCACAAAATTATCGTAGAACTGGCGGAGGAAGGGCTGGTGCTGGCTGAGCAGAGCACGGAACTGCGCCTTAAAGGCCCGCTCGCTAAACTCGCCGGTGCTGTGGTGATACCGCATCGTGTACTGGTTGTCCTCGTGGAAGACATAGCCCTCGCCCAGCCGGCTGTTCTCCTCTTTCCGCCGCACAGTCGTCACGGTCAGGTGCATGTTGTTGGTGCGTTTCCGTTTGACCAGCTTGCCGTCACTGCTGTTGCTGTTGCTGTTTGCCTCCTCGTCTCCGGCCATCTGGTCCTCGTCCTCGAAGGTGGCCGCATATTTCCGCTTGACCAGCAGCGAAACACCGGTCTGGATCAGGTCCAGCGGATCGCCGGGGCCCAGGGCCAGGGCGTCCACATTGTTTCCGGCATGGAACTGCAGGGAAGACGAGTTCTGCGTGTCCGCATCGTCGAGAAAGTCCTCCTCCTCCTCGAGGCACAGGAACTCTTCTTTGCAGAGGATCTTCTCGAAGTTTTGGTTCAGGTCCGTCGATCCGGCCTCCTCTTCGTCGTTCTCACGCTTAATCTCCGCCTGGCAGCCGGTTCCAGGCTCCTTCTTCTCCTTCTTGGTGTTCAGCAGCAGCTGAAGCTGCTTAGTTCTCGCTAGCTCGTGCTGCTGGCTCCTTCCGCCTCCTTCTGTCCCGCCATTGTCTTTGGCTGCGGCTATGTGACTGAACAGATTCCTGACGACTTGGTCGCAGGCCTCCGGGTACTTGCACTTAAGCGTTTGCAGCAAGAATTGAATTGCATCGCACCGCAATGCTGTGTTGAGGCTTTCCAGTAGATTTAGTGATTGATCCACCTGCAAAACAGCAGAAGGCAAAATTAAAAATAGTACAAACATTTCTTTTACTTTTGTCTTGCGATAAAAGAGACCTCAGGGCTCACTGTTAAAATTAAGATCTCGGAAAAGGTGCGAATAGACAATATGAGTTTTTGCACAGACCGGCTATCACGATTTTGTTCAATCCACGTTCAGGAATGGTAAAAACTTGTTGTTTTCTTTTTAGTTTAACCTTACGCAAGGACTATAAATCTGAAATAAGTTGACTTTTTTGTTTCGTTTTAATACCACTGTGCTTAAATTATAGCGCTAGTGGAAAATAAATTACCAACTTCCGCTTCAAGCCGCCCATTTCCACAAGCTACGGAATGTTGTGGGTGGGAAAGACTGGCAGGGTTGCCACCTTAAAACGTGATACTTGTTAGCCCCGCTTAAAGTCCCAATTAGAATAGTCATTTGTTTCAATTAAACGACCAAACTCTCTCATAAATACACTACACACACAGAAACACGCTGATGGAAATAACTGTCGTCAAACACAATTACTGATTATTATTTTCCAAACAATTTAATGCAATTAGAGCAGTAGGGAGGGGGTGGTACAAGTAAGAGAGAGGTGGGAGAGAGCGCGCGCGCTTCAATGAAACGTAGACAGCACGGCGACAGCGACGCTGACAGCGCAGCCCGCGCAAGCGATTAGCACAAAGCAAACACACACAGAGAAACGGCGAGCGAAGATGGCGAAAAATAGAAAAGAAAAACAAAAACAGCAGTAGCGGAGGCAGAGGCAGAGAAATTAAAACAGCGCACAATTTGTGCTACTTTTTCCCATTCCACAATGTTGCTATTATGAATGTATGTACGACGTTTTTGTGTTTGTATATTTGGCGCGATTTGTAGTTGTTACAAACACAATGTCGGGCTGCTCTCTGCCCGCTCTTCTCTCACAACCCATCCACCCACTGTGTGAGAGTGAGAGGAAATATATGGAGAGGAGCCAAAGGAGGCTCTGTGGGTGGCAAAATGAGGCGAAGGGGGCTCTGAAAGTAAACGACGTTGCAACCCTGAAATACTCTTAACGCTTGTGAATACCCTACCTTTCCCAGTTTAAGTTTTAAGTTAATCATTTTTACGGTATCAAAATAAATATTTTCTTTATATTTTTAAACAGAACTTTAATTTAAATTGCGGAAATGCGACTTAGTGGAATGCAGAAGGGTATTTGAAAAGGGTTTCTCAAAAAGAACATCGTATAAAATTTCAAATACATAGTTTTACAAACATTTTTGATAGCCCATCTCCAATTGTTTTTCAAAATACATATTTGCTGATACATGATATTAAAGAATTTTTGTAAACAAGAGCGAACATTTTCAGTTTTATTTTAAGTTCTCCTTACATTAGTTCGATAAATACCAAATGTACTCAAGTTAAAAATGATTAATCGCACTATTAATATACAGCTATTTTGAACTTAAAAGATGTTTATTTTGGGGGGTAACGCTTTCTATCAAACGGATATAGCTACAGAAAATGGTTAAAAGCAGTCTTTACTTTCTCTCGGTCAAACTGTTTTTAATCAATCAACTTGAAAATACAAAACGGTAATTCTTGACAAAAGAAGTAAGATTAGAAGTTAAACTGCTAAACGTTCGTTGAATACATAAATATATAAATCCCCTTTTCTATCTGGCAGCGCTTCGAGTAGTGCGTTTTATTTGTCAATAAAGTTGTTGTAAATTTAGATTGCAGATAACACAAACTTACAAGTAGGAGCACATGTGCACGTACATATGTAAGCATTTATAAAATTTTATAAACTTAATTCGTGGGTCTGCGGAGCAAAAGAAGGGAGAGAGAAGTAAAAAGAGGTACAAAAGAAGGAAAAGAGAGATTCAGAACGTGCAGTGCAAGAGAAAAGCAAATGCCATATTTAATTAGATTTTTTTTGTGTTCTAATTAAATGTTAGTTTGTGTGAGAGCATGTTAGTTTGTGTTGTTCTATGCTCGCATCAGTGTACACGTGTTTGTGTGAACTAAAAATAAACGAGTTTAAGATATTTTCTGGATTAGATTTGTTTTTGGGGATATTCCGCGTAGGGTGTAAGGCATTCGTTAAGAGAAAATTTGACTAGATTTATTTCGCTTTAGTTGCTACACAGAAATATTTAGTTCGTTTGCAATTGTTATGTACCTGTTCATTTCTCACATAAAGACCCAAAGAGCTATCTTCAAAATACTTATGTACACATGAGCACATTCACACACACGCTCACATATATATAGTGTTCGGATGGGTGAACCGTTAGAAAGTGGGAGGTGGGGGGGATGACGTTGGTTGCATTTTTAGCAAAATTTATGTTATACATTTCGTGCTCGCTATCTCCCTCGCACTCGCACATACACACACATCAAAGCTCTCAAAGTGGAACTCACACAAACGAACGTCCAAATAGTTGTACTAATCAAATAAAAATAGCATTTACATCGCCCTCTCTTTTTCCACTTTTTTTTACAGAGTTTTATTAATGAAATTGGCACAGCGAAACACAGTGCAATCAATTCGAATTCAAGTGGAAGGGATGAAAAAACAAAAGGCACTCAATCTATGTCGTAAACTCAATTAAGAGCGATAAAAACTTTAATTGTGTTACTGCCAAACGGAATTAATTAAAAAGCACAAAGACTGTTTCAACTCAAACAGAATGTAGTTTTAAGCTGTTATTGTGATCTTTGCGGACTGCATTAAGTGAAATGTGTAGTTTTATTTACCTAAAATCGGTTCATTTAAATCTTGTTGATCACTTTCTTCCCGCTTAATTACAACAACAAATTGCTCCACTGTGCAATGCTGTTTACTATTCTTCTTCTTTCACTTGTGCTTTGCTTCGTACATTCGTACTCGATTGCCTGTCTTGCTCACGCCTGCATGTGAAATGCCTCGAATTTATATGCAAGAGGTAAAGAGAACTCCCCATTCACTCCCCCTGCCTCCCTCACCATCCTTTCCACATCGCCCCACAAACAACAACACACACACATACAAAACAGGAGGGAGAGCCAGAAATACAATCAAACTTTTGCTCTTGGGGCTCAATTTGAGATTTGTTGTTTTTGTTGCTTTTGGATTTTGTAGTATTTGTAGTATTAGTATATTTATGTAAATGTGCTTTGCTTGTGTGGCCGAAGTAAATGTAAATGTTGTTATAAACTAATAAAAATAAAAATAAATATTTTCTCGAATATAACGAAGGAAAACAAAACAAAAGTGAATAATAGCAGTGATGAAATGGGTCGAAAACTGGGGAGCTGAAAAGAGGAGGGAAGGCTACAATTCATTTTAGAGGCAAATAGAAAAAACAAAAATAACATTATGTGGCACTCAACGAAAGGGGAAAGAAAGGGGAAGAAAGAGAGGGCGCAATGGAGGGAGGAGGTAAATGGAAATGGGAGTGGTATGGGTTTGCCTTTGAATAGGGATAGTGGGAGTGGGCGGCGGAGAGGAGAATGAGAAGAGGGCGGGATGGAGCAAAAGACTCGGCGGAAGTTCACACAGACACACACTCACATTATATGGCTGTGTGCGTGTGGTTGTGGGTGGAAATTGTGCAAGAAGCGATTGTGGGGGCTCTAAATCAACGGAGCTTTTAAAATAATAAAGCAAACAGAAATAGAGGGAATTTTTAAGAACCACCCTTCCTGTCATGTACACTTGCCGAAAATATTTTGCAATAAGCATTCAGTTCAATCGTAAATCAATGCCGCAAATTCCCGCTCAAACTCGTTAGCTGCCTCTCTTTGTTTACTTCAGGTGATTCGCACTTCCAATTGGAGAGCAGAGCGCGATTTGAATGGCAAAACTTAATTCGGTTTTATTTTAATCGCAACGACCTTTTCACATTACAGCAACAACAAAAATAAAAAAACAACGATGAAAACAACAATAAATACGGCCAGTGCACACTGTACTTCATTTGTTATCTGTCCTCCACCATTCCATTCACACGGAATGTAGACTGCACACGCACAAAAACAGCTGCCTGTATGTGTGGACTTGATATCATGCGAGGGAAAAAGGGGACGAGGGGGAGGAGGGACAATGGTAAACATTATTTAATTACCAGTAATTTAAAATCCAACTGTGTAGTTTTGTTATCCATTTTGTTGTTGGCTTCTGCATTTGGCTGAATTTTATTTATACGTTTCACTCTCTCACACACACACGCGCACAGAATCTCACTCGCTCACACACACACACACATGCGTGCGGGTTTTTTTTATTATTTCGATTTTTCCTTTAGCCCCTGCTTCGCGTTTCTTCTTCTTCTTTGCTGTAGCTCAGCTCTTTTTTTGTGTTATTCCATTCTCCTCTCCTTTGCTTTTAACTTTTCGTACGTCGCTCTCGCTGTATTGACACAACATTGAGAAATTCCCATTGGTTTTTTTCTCCCTTTTTTCACATTTTTACGCTTAATGGGGGGAATTTGCAGATTTTGTTATTGCATAAAGCCAGCACAGGGAATATATTTAACAACCGTGCGCCTATTTAACTCTAGGCTGCTTGCAACTTTCTGTGGCACACATGCACACACACACACGCGCGCTTACTGCCTGTGCTGCGTATGAAAAAATGGTTTTACAACCCGTTTTCGCCACGCGTTTCGTCTTTAACGTTGCGCGCACCATCTAATTACGCGAAAAGCCCTTAATAGAAACCGATTAACCGTTAGTTTAGCAAGTATAATTGAATTTTTTAACAGCAACAGCAAATAAAAAGCGACGGAATTTTTCTCAAAATGTTTTGTACGGTATTTTTTTAGTGACTGCTGGAGGTTGTCTATTTTTAGTTCGTTTTCGGGGTGAACGCCAAATACTAAGTTATCGATAAATCTCCCATACCTATTGGCACAATGATTGTCGTTTTTGTTTTTTGAAATTTTATTTCACGCGCTCCTCAGCCGAATACAAAAATTCAGGATAGACCCTTAATCAATAATTATGCATCCTTGGGATTACTTGGTCGGCTGCTTCGCTTGCTTCTCCTTCTTGGCAGCCTCTGCCTCTGCCTGCACCTTGTTGTATTTCTCGATTAGTTTTTCCACATCAGTCTTCTCCAGGACACTATAAACGGTTGAATTATCAATTCGCTGCAAAGTGGCCATCTCGACCTTTTCGGGGGTCAACTTTGTGGTGTCCAGGGTCATGCTGAGCACCTTAACGGCCAGATCTTTGGCATCCTCCAGTGTCAGCTTCACGTTCTCCTTGTCGGCAAGCTCCTGCTTCAGCATGGATATTGCCGCCCCAAAGTTGTTGCCAATGCAGGTGGCTTTCCAACCTCCGTAGTTCCCACTCGGATCCGATTGGTACAGCTGGTAACCGTACTTGTTGTCCCATCCCATGTAGAGCAGCGAAACTCCAAAGGGACGCTTGCCGCCGTACTGAGTGTACGCCTGTTTGATGTCGCACAAGTGGGACACCAGCTGCTCGCAGGGAATCACTTCGCCGTAGCTGAACTGGTAGCGCTGAGCAATTAGACGCAGCTCGGCGGTCAAAACGTTGGCATCAGAGGTTATGCCCGCCACCGAGCAGACCATGTTCCTAGATGTAAGAAAGAGGATTTGATTAGTCATAAATAAAGTCGGTAAGGAAGATGAGCCCTACTTCAAGTTCACTTCTTTTTGAATTTAGTTTACGGTCAAAAAAACAGTTGTTACTTGAAGAACTAGCATGTTTCAGAGGCTTAAAAGACGATTATTTTAGCATTCATTGACCATTCTTGTTTTCAAATTATTTTGCAAATTTGAAATTAGTAAGGGCAGATCGGTGGTTTCAAAGGTAACTTTTCAGACAGCAAGCTGGAATCACAACTCACTCATTCAGGCGGTAGATCTTCTCCGAAGGAATGGCGCTGTCGAGCAACTTGTTTGTGCTGCGGCATTCAGCGGCCAAAAGGATGCCGTCCTCGGCAAGGATTCCCAAACAGGTTCCTGCGTGTGAGATGGCCTCCATGGCGTACTCCACCTGGTACAAGCGTCCCTCCGGTGAGAAGATCGTGGTGCGGGAATCATAGCGGCGCGCCTATCAAACAACCAGAACGCGAATATTAGACCGATTTTGATTGTTTACAGGACTACGATTCAAGGGTCATAATCCAGTCAACACCGGCAGCCAGACCCACTTACTCACCATTGTTAGCGAATATACAAATTTACTAGTTTATTTTGCAAAACGAACAGAAATTACTTGTCATTCAGTGTAGGGCTGCCAGATCAAGTGCGTCAAGAAGCGGGTCTAGGGCTGCGAGCTCAATTTCCAGGTTGCGTTAGAGTAAATTTTTTACTGTTTTGGTATTTTTTTAAATAGGTTCTCTCGCTAGTAGGGTTGGAAACTCTTACCTTTCACTAAATATTCCACTTAGTCGGAAAAGTCGAATACAAAAACGACATTATTAATATTAATTAGCAGTCGTTGATTTTGGCGGAAAGTGAAAATTAAGCACCGTCTTATTGATTTATTACATTATACATATATAAATTGTAATTATTGCAAAATATTTCTTATTAAGAGCCATCACTGTCAGAGGACAACAGAAGGTGTTATCACTAGTGCCGAAGCTGAGAGCCATCGATAACATCGATAGCTACTCAGCTTCTTTTGTTGTATTTTAAAAACATGGGGGACCTGCTGAGTGTACGTACAACTAGCCAATCAATTAATTAAATTATTAATAACGCCCTGTATTTACAGAACTCTGAGTTTTTTAAAAAGCTGGGCGTGGACAGCTCGAACCAGTGGATTCTTTACGATGAGCAGATGGAAAAGTTCTTCAAGTTCCTGTCCGGGAACATTACGGATGCGAATATCCTCACAGAGCGACAGGTTCTGGAGCGGGAGGAAATGCAGCGGCGGGACGAGTGGCTAACTAGATCAGATCGAGAGCTAAAACTCCTGCAAATCGAGTTGGAAAGTCCCGGTCTACTGAATTATAAACAGCAGGATGTCGACGCCTTGAACATGGGCATTGACGGTATCGAAGAGGCATCGAGGGAATATGCCGTTCTCCTGGAGGATATGATGTAAGCAACCTGGATATGATTCTTACTTTGTCAGCTTTCTTTTCGATATGTATTAGTAATCTCGATATAATTAATATATATAAAAACTAGGGGTCCTAACTCTTCCGAACTATCTTTGCTCATCTAGGCTCTTTGGTCCAACCTCCTCTTAAACGCTTTTAATGATTCAATCAAATTTTATTTTCTTCGCAGAAACACGAAGCATTCGGTAAACAACCATTTAAGCGAGGTAGAGTGCGCCGCCTCCGAACTGCAACTGAGGGAGAGGGATCTGATTAGCGACTGCCAATCCAAGGCCAAACAACTGGAAGAACTGCAGCGGGAAAACTGCCGTCTTAGTGGTGAAGCCAAGAAGGCCTTTACATCTCAACAACTGCCACCACTTTTTATGCATCAACTGCCACTGGAACAGTATTTTCACAAGTGCGACTCATTCATGCAGTACTTTACCCTGTATGTGAAAGAGAACTTCAAGATCCAGGACTATGATGAGTTCCAGAGTGCGGAGGCAGACCTTCTGCGTGAAAAGAGCAAGTTGGAGGACTTGCAACTTGGGTAAGCAAAAAAAAGAAAGAAAGCACAAGCTAAAAATGAATACGAACCTACTCTTGCAGCATCCAATTCTATACACTATCCTACTTAACGACGATGGCTAAGGCCAAGGCCACACAGGCTCTAATCGATCAGCTGGATCTCGGCCAGATTCACTGCCTCAGTTTGTCGGACATGACGCGCGAGATGCACGATCTGCAGCTGCTGAACGATCATCAGCTGAGCAACATTCACGACACCCTTTTAAATGATCTTACCATCCACATTCAGCAGCATACTCAGCGGCGTATTGAACTGGTTTTATACGAAAACACCAAACTAAAGATGGATAGAGCAATGCGTCGTCACGAGAGCGACAAAAAGCTGACCAAAATCATATCAGATGCCTTGTCCAATGCGGAATTGTTGTGGATAGCGATTCAGCTGGATTGCGATAAGAAACGCAATTGCCTGGACACTTCAGAGGAAATGCGCAATCAGGCGCAGGACACTTGGCAGAGGATCCAGACAATGCGTTCCATGAATGCCAGCCACCAAGGTATTTGTTCCCAGTTTGTGCAGGAGATTGCCAATCTGTTGTCAGCCCATTTGGGTCAGAACATTAAGGCTGGTGAGGCCAAGGCTTGTCTTTTCGAATACGAGAAGTTCGGGCGTTTGCTCTCATACTCTTTTCAGAGCATGCTCAATAGGAAAAGCTGTGTCACTGCCCAGGATCAACTGGCCGAACTGTAAGTTGGTAACTTTATGTTTGTTAAAACTCAATAACTTTTTTATTTAATTAACAGCAAACGTCTGGAGCAAACTTTGCGACCCTTTGTGTACGATTCTCCCATTGAGCAGCCCATGTTTGAAAATGTCCGGTACTTGAGCGCCATCCACAATGTCACCCAGAAACAAAGTCGTCTTGATGTGGCCGTGCGATCCTTGCGAACAGACTTTCTGGAAAACGTCGTAGGGCGCATTGTAAGTTTCTAGTTCTTGGCATAAAATCATCGCCTATAACCTTTGCGGAATTTTCAGGAGAAGGATAAGCTCTATCGTTACAGCGTGCTTCTGTGGATCTGGTTTCTAACTGAGCCGCAGCGCATGCTGTATGCCATTGGTGAGGTGAAGAAAGCAGCCGCGGGTGTGATTCGCCCTGGTGGCGGTCTGCAGCGGAAATGATTTTAGTTGATAGTGAAGCTGGTCAGTAAATAAATTTTAAATTATTAAAAAACTAATACTATGTATACTAATGTTGCTCAGATGAACCTAATCGTTCTCTTTGTTATTAAATTTTATTTTGGTCTTGTAGTAATAAAAAATGTTATAGTCTTTTATTTCTCATTATGTTTAAGCACACTTTTTAAACCTTCATTTCCGTGGATTTAAAAGTTTGTGCTCACAAAACACCAGTTGAATTAAAAAATCTTAAAGCAGTCTATACGATTGCCACCGAAGAGACGCACATTAATTGCTGAAGGCACGCGACGGCGTTTCCAAACGATTACCATTCAAATTGGGCCGAGGAGCAACAAGTGAGACATTGAAACCGTGTTCGCCTAACCTAGAGATTCACTTTCCTTTAAGACGAAGCCAGTTGGCCAGCAATTTCCTGGCATCTTATTGGCCAAACAGCGGCTCGGGTTCCTGGACGACTTTTGCCGAGCTCAGGTCCTCTCGTGTATAAAAGGAGCAACAGTTCTGGACCGGCGGTTCATTCGTTTATCGTGCTTCGGGCAAGTTTTCCCTTATAATCCTTCGGTAATACAACTGGATACGGTGAAGTGAAGTGTTTGTTTATTAAAAACTTTAAAAAGTGTCAATGTGCTTTGAACACAAAATACTTAAAGACTTTTAAGGTCTTTAAATTTAAGGACTTGCCGAAAGAACTGTTGAGCATTTTTGATCTTAAACTGGATAATTATTCGCGCCCCATTACGTCTCATTGTGATTTGAATTAATTTCAAATTTCTATGTGACCCTTGAAATTAAAGTGCCGCGTGGTGAATCGAAGATCTAGGCAGACTTTTGGGACAAATTTAAACCATAAAATTAAATCAGTAGATGGATTTTCTTCGTCGCGATTATTATTCACATTGAATGGCTTTTTGAGATATTTGGTGCCAGACAATTTATTATTTTCAGTGCCTAGCAGAGTAATTATTTTGTTGGCTCGGTTTTTAAATTAAATTAAATTAAATATATATCCTTAAAATATTTAATTAAAGTATTTAATTCTTATAAAGACTTAAATATTAAAGTCTGGAAAATGATTATTGTTAAGTGAGATAGGAAACTCAACTAAAAAGATTTAATGATTATTTTCGTTAATTAGTAATCTATTTGGGAACTCATCGAAATGCAACTACTTCGAATCAGCATCCATGTGTTCTTTTTGATGCTCGGAGATTCCTATAGTGCCCATCCAAATCCCAGACGCAATGAGATCATCTGGGATGATGTGAATAAGGATATGGGTCTGGATTTTACCACATCGATGGTTGGGTTTAATAGTAATGAAACGGGAACCGAGTTGAAGATGTTCGAGAGAAACAGGGAAGCCAAGACCCATCCGCTTCCTAAGTACACTGAAGTGGGGGAAATGGGCCAGATGCGTGTCTACAATGTTGGGGTACTTATGGCATCTCATTTGGGTAAGTGATTAAGCATTCATCTAGGGATACCATGATGATAAGTTACTTTTGGCTAACACCAGATTCCCCGTTTGATCTGGAGCGTTGTGGACCGGCCGTAGATTTGGCATTGGATCAGATCAACAAGGTTTTTCTGAGGCCCCACAACATTACGCTTTTGAAAAAGAAGGGAAGGTTAGTGAAAGCTTGAAAACTGTGACCTTTCTTTAAATCAAGTCAACTATAAAAAGTTCATCATTTAAGATAGTACATATTATAATTTTTTGGGATGTTTGCATATGCAAAAATATAAAACGTCTGTGTCCACACTCTAATTTTAACTATAGTTACCCATCCTGCTCGGGAGCTCGGGCACCAGGACTTGCGGCCGACATGCACTTCCAGGACGACGTAATCGCCTTCATTGGACCAGCCTGCGCCTTTGCCCTTGAGCCGGTTGCACGTTTGGCCGCCTATTGGAACACTCCCATCATCACCGGCATGGGGGATCAGGTGAGGATTGGAGGGGGACGAGGAGGGGAGCAGGAACAGGACTCTCGAGTCGCGTGTCAAGCAACGCAGCACGCCGCATTCAATTATGTGACCTCCGACCCGGTTGAATGCGGAACCCCGAGCCTGAGCTAAATCCACATCCGGGATCTCAATACCCAGTTCCCTCCACACACAGCCAGAAGCAATCACATTTAGCCGGCTTAATTGTCGTGGTCGTACTCTTGACATTGGCAATTAAATGCTTTTCGGCTTGCTCTTTAATTTGCATTTAAGTTTCCGTATTATTGACAAGTAGCGTTTCCCCTTCGCCCACCTGCTGCCAGCCTCCTTCCTCGGAAGGTGAGCTCACGGTGACTTCTGGAATCCTGGGAAGGATACACAAGTGGAAGAACGAGAACACGGTAAGTTTAAGAATAAATAGATACCAGTTTTGAATGGTCTGTTAGAAATTTATAAATATTTAACTATTAAAAAGAAATAAGTTTAAAAAAGTTTAGTAGTTTTTTAATTTCTTTCTTTTTTCTCAAAAAAACATTTTTTCCTTTTGAACTTCAACATTATTTTTAAGATATTGTTACCATATTTACTGCCTGGCTTGAACCACTCCTGGCTTGAGCAACGGGCTACTAGCCCTCTCGATACTCTTACTCCTTGCAGGGCATGTTCAAGGACAAGTCGAAGTATCCAACTCTGACCAGGATGTCCTACTGCCAGTGCAGACTCATCCTGGTCTTCGCAAGTGTCTTTCGGCAGTTCAACTGGAAGCACGTGGCCTTGTTGGTGGACAGATCGGAACTCTTCTCGTGGACAGTGGGCAAGAACCTTGAGTATGGACTGCGGCAGGAGGGACTTCTGAGCTTTGTGAGGGAGCTCAACGGCAACGAGGAGGAGATCTACGAGAATTATCTGAAGGATGCCAGCATGTATGCAAGAGGTAAATTTGAACAGAAACAAGAAAGGTTTGTTAGACAACTGAAATACAAAACTCATTTTTTAAAAAATAAATTCATAATATAAATGTTGTATATTAATTACATGTCTTAGTTGTCATCCTTTCGGTTCGCGGAGTTCTGGTGCGAAAGTTCATGCTGGCGGCTCACAGTCTTGGCATGACCAATGGCGAATGGGTCTTCCTGGACGTGGAGATCTTCCAGAGTGACTATTGGGGCGACAAAGGCTGGGAGATGAAGGACGAGCACGACGCCAAGGCCCGAAAGGCATATGAAGCTCTTTTGAGGGTCAGTCTCTTGCAGCCAACAAGTCCCAAGTTCCAGGACTTTGCAGACAATGTTCGGGAAAACGCATTATACGATTATAACTACACGTTTGGAGAAGGCGAGGAGGTGAACTTCTTCATTGGAGCGTTCTACGATGGAGTTTATTTGCTGGGAATGGCCTTGAATGAAACCCTCACTGAAGGAGGAGACATCCGAGATGGAGTTAACATCACTAGGAGGATGTGGAACCGCACTTTTGAGGGAATCACTGGGCACGTGAGAATCGATGATAATGGTGATCGGGATGCGGATTATTCCATTCTCGATTTGGATCCAATCAACGGAAAGTTTTCGGTTGTGGCCCACTACTCCGGTGTTCACAAGTAAGTTTGATAATTAAATGTTTATGGGAAGTTAATATAAATTTCAACTTATTCAAAAGGGAATATGCAGCTGTTCATGGAAAGAAGATTCATTGGCCAGGTGGACGCGAGGAACCGCCGCCGGATGTTCCACCCTGTGGTTTCCTGGGAAATTCAACGGATTGCATTGGAAACTGTGAGATTCAACTGGTCAAAAAAGATCCACAACTTGTAATATTTGCCTATTGCAGTGTCCACCATTATGTACTCCATATTTGGCTTGGCTTTGTTCTTTGGACTTGTGTTTCTGGTTATTTGCCTTCTTCAAAAGTAAGTTATGAACACCAAAGAAGGAGTCTAAATGATAATAAATTAATATTTAATAGTTCGTTTCGATTTGTCTTGTAAATAGTAAGTAATAAAATTGTAATAATTCCTTTTAGGCAGATGAAACTTAGCAAGGAGCTGAACAACATGTCCTGGCGAGTTCGTCCCGATGACGTCCTTATCGAAATGGGAGGCATGTTTGGTTCGAAGGGAGGACTCCAGCGCTTGGACGTTGAGAACATCTCGCTGCAGCAGTTCGGAATCCATTCCGGTCGCGCCTCCATCGCCAGCTTCACCTCATTGCCTCCTCAGGTTTACACTACCATTGGACAGTTCAAGGGCGAACGGGTGGCCATAAAGAAGGTGAACGTGAAGAAGGTGGACCTGACCCCGCAACTTCTTTGGGAGATCAAGCAGGCGCGGGATGTGAGCCACGAGAACACGGTGCGATTCGTGGGAGCCTGCATCGATTTGCCACGACCCACGGTTCTCATTCTAACCGAATATTGCTCGAGGGGCAGCTTGAAGGATGTCCTGGAGAACGAGGCCATCGAGCTCGACTGGAACTTCCGCATGTCCCTCATTCACGACATTGTTAAGGGCATGAACTATCTGCACAATAGTGATGTGGCAGCCCATGGAAAACTGAGGTCTTGCAACTGCCTCATTGATGGAAGATTTGTGCTCAAGATTTCCGATTTCGGACTAAGAACGCTGACCACGCCCTCTGATTTTGTGAGGGATCAAAACTACTATCTTAGTGAGATTCCCCTGTTTTAAGTAACAAAGTTCAGACATTTAAAACTCCTTTTATTTCTTAGAGCTCCTTTGGATTGCTCCGGAACTATTGCCACTAACATCGATTCCTGGCTGCTGTCCAGCTACTCAGCGCGGGGATGTCTACTCCTTTGGCATAATTCTGGAGGAGATTGTGAATCGAGGTGGACCTTACCAGGAGGCCCGTCAGCAGATGGACGTCCATACGATTCTGCACAAGGTGCGTCAGTGCAATGGGTTCCGGCCATTAATTCGGGAACGTGAATGTCCACCGGATCTACTGGAACTGATGGAAAAATGCTGGGCGGACAACCAAGAAGAAAGGCCCACATTCTCAACGATTCGCAGCAATATTCGCACCATAATGAAGTGAGTGACCTCTCCCAATAATAATTTATCAACTAATAATAAATAATTACCAAATTAATTCAGGGGTTTCTGTGAGAATCTAATGGACGACTTACTGAACCGCATGGAGCAGTATGCCAATAATTTGGAGAGTCTTGTTGAGGAGAAAACCCGCCAGTTGAGTTTGGAAAAACAGCGCACCGAGGAGCTTCTCTACCAGATCCTTCCACGTCCTGTGGCCCAGCAATTGATGGCCGGGGACCTCGTGGAACCGGAGGAATTTAGCAGCGTGACCATTTACTTCAGTGACATCGTTGGCTTCACGGAACTCTGTGCCCGCAGTAGTCCCATGGATGTGGTGAATTTCTTGAACGATCTGTACAGCACCTTCGACAGGATAATTGGATTCTACGATGTTTACAAAGTGGAGACAATTGGCGATGCTTATTTAGTTGTCTCCGGATTACCAGAACCCAATGGCGATAAACATGCTCGCGAAATTGCTCTGATGGCTCTGGATATTTTGCAGGCCGTTAGCTCCTTTAATCTTCGCCATAAACCGGAGTACAAAATCCAAATCCGCATTGGCATGCATTCGGGATCAGTTTGTGCTGGGGTGGTGGGCAAAAAGATGCCACATTACTGTCTTTTTGGAGATACTGTCAACACGGCTTCGAGAATGGAAAGCTCTGGCCAACCCGGCAAGATACACGTTTCCTCGGCCACAAAGGCTATTCTGGACAAGTTTGGTACCTTTCAAATGGAACATCGTGGAGATGTCGAGCTGAAGGGCAAGGGAACAGTCACCACATTTTGGCTAAATAGCACCACCGAGGGCGAGGCACGACCACCCACTCCGCCGATTCTAACCACCGATGAGGTGCCCTTTCCACTTCTATTCGCCGGTATGGGAAAGTAGTCCCTCGGATCCAATCAGTTGGATATTAAATTTGATCTCTTACGAATCAGTATTGTACAGGAAAGTCTAAGAAAACTTTCCACTGAATGTTACCTGAAAACAATAAAGGCTTTACATGCTTTACCATTAAATTGGGATCAAAACTTTGAAGTAACAAATTATTAACACAAACAAAATAAATAAAAAGCAAAATAGTGAAATATCTTTACAACACCCCTGATAAATATCTCCTCAAATAAATATTTTATACTGTATTGAGATATATAAATAAACGCTTTTAATGTTTTGAAAGATATGTAGTTTTATCAAAGAATTAATTAATCAAAAGTACCAGTTCAAATTGTGTTTGTTTGTAGTAAGATGATGTTAACATTTAAACATACGAGTGTTTCACAATTAAGATACATCTTAATTTGTATTTACAAGTTTGTTACAGGATTTTATTTAACAGAAGCTGTTATTCCTTGGTGAAAGCTCTTGAATACGGTCACTTATCCTGGGAAAAAGCTTTCTATCCTTTTTCCTAGCTCCGGCGCCATCAGCTGTTCGAGCTGAAAGCGCTTTTCCGCAGGGGGAGGAAATCTGTATTTGCGCATAGCCGAGGGAAAAGGAATAGCCACAAAAACAAAGTTTTGAAAACGTGAAATAAAGAGTTAAATGAGTCCTTAAACAGAGGCAGTTGAAGGTTTAGAATGAGTTACAATCTGTCGGAGGATCTGGAGAGGAAACCAGTGTGTTTCAAGGATAGAGATACTCCTGCAAGCCATGTAGATTCAGTTTAGATACCCGGGAGCAGATATAGATACAGATACACACCGCTAGAAGAATCTAGAGCACATCCCGTCATCCGCCATGAAGGTGTTTCGGTTGAGATTGGTGAAGCTCCTCCTGCTGGGGTTCCTGCTGGCCAACCTGGTGTTCTTCTATTACACATGGAACACGTTACTTTGGCGCCGGATAAGTAGAGCTCTCTCCGGGGAATCCCCTGCACCCGAGGAACCTCCGAAGGCCGCCAAACTTTCGGCGAAGGATAAGCTGCGAAATGCCAACAAACACATAAGGAAGTCCATCACCATCGTGTTCTACGGTCACTACAACTTCGAGCAGGATCTGCGAGCGAGCATCGATAGCATCCTGGATGTGATACCCAACATGCCGATCCTGGTGCTCCAAGACGGCGGAGCGGAGTATGCCTATCCCCCAGTTAGCTACGAACGGAATCTAACCGCCGGCGAGGAGAGCACGGTGGTGTTCAAGAGCCTGGCCTTCGATGTGCGACACACGCGGCAGGAGCTGAATCCCTTGGCCTCCATCCGCACCAAGTATGTCCTCATCATGCCGGACAGCGTGCGGCTGAGCAGCAAGAACATCCTGCAGAAGATCCTGCGCGAGATCAACTCACTGGGCTTGCCAGGTCAGCCCAAGGAGCAGAGGCCACCTGTTCCGCCGGAGGAAACGGTGCGCCGAATGGTGCTTGTTCCCTTCGCAGGAAACCTCAAGACCTTCAGCAGCTGCGTCCGGATGACACTGGATCTGCCGGACTGGACCCTCGAACTGGTGGCCACCAACGACAGCAAGCGATGTGATTTGGTGGGTATTAAAAAGTATAAAAGGTAGTGTTGAATTAACTGAAATGGAAAGAAAAGTTTTAACAAACCAAGAATAATATTACTTTTTACCAAGTTTGTGTTGTCGGATTTTTTTTTATAGGATATTTAAGTAATCTTTTTTAAAATTGTCCGTTGAATAAATTTTTTAATTTATGGTTTTCCAAACAGTTCCTGCAAAAGCACGCAATCCTGCTGGATGCCACGGTCCTAGGAGCAATGCCCGAGCCCTTCAGCCTGCCCTTTCCGGAAATGCTCTACATGCAGGCCAAAATAGCCAACCTGTCGGTGAGTAATTCCCTGTAATCCCTTTTTCCAGCTCCAATTACAACCAAAACCCTTTCAGACCACGGTGTTCCCACAAGCATTCCAGGAGGGTCGCCGTCTCTTCGCCTCCTTTCACACAAAACAAAGGAGGATGGATCTGCGTCGCCGGCAGTTTAGGGAAATGTACAAAAAGCTGCAGATCAAAAGGATCGTGAGACGGGCCTACAGGGTTCCTGGAAAGGCTCAGGCGAGGGAGGTTTGGGGCCAGGGTCACGGGTTAGTCCTAGATGGACAGTTCTCATCCTCGAATACCTCACTGCCGCTGATCACCGACATTGACTTGTTCGGCTGCGAAAGGACCACCAAATCCTGCATAGGAAGTGTGTACAATGAGAGGCCCTACTACTCCTATTTGGGGAAGCATACTCCACCCTGCTGCCTGGACAAGCTGAGGACCACCTTCAATCACGTCCTGGAGGAATTCGAGAACGTGGGCATTCGCTACTGGCTGGACAATCGGGCTCTGCAAAGTGCCATCGAAACGAACCACCTTTCTCCGGATGCCTACGACATCGATATTAGCTTTAATGTCCAGGATCTGGAGCGATCCAACGCGATGAAGAAGTCGCAGAGCAAACCCTACGTGGATAACGAGGGATTCTACTGGATCAAGGCCACCGATGGTCACTATTTCCGTGTCCAGTTCTCCAAACCCAACCAGGTGGGTGTGAATCTTCTGCCCTATTCGATCAGTGGAACGGAGGCGAAGGCCAGTGGATTCTTTGGCTGGAAGGCCACCACCTTCTCGGCGGACTACCTGCATCCCATGTCCACTGTGCTTTTCCTCGGGAAAAGCGTCATGTGCCCAAATAACGTGCTCGAGTATCTGGAGGAGAAGCACATCAAGGTGAGATCCGCAGACTTGGATGCGGACGAGGATTGAGCCAGCTTACACTCTTAAAAAATATTGTCTGTGAAAGGGAATTATTGATTTTTGGTTCCTGACATCTACTTTTTATCTGCTGAATGCTGAGATTATTGTTTCAGATGGGTGACTATTACAAGCGTGATTTTTATGGAATGAGACATTATAGGAAAAAAGCAATCTGTCTGGAAGTTTTCAATTACAGATTTTTCTTTAGGCCAAACACCAAACACTGGACTTGATAACCCACAGAAAACATAAAGAGTAAACTATTTTGTAATCATTTTGGGCTGGAGATTTAAAGAAGATCTTTTAAACCACTAATGTTTTTGTGGAACACCACGGATTTGACTACAGTGCTATTGAATGTTTATTTCTGTTCTAAGCATTTATACAATTTTGTGACATTTACATTGAATCTAAGTTCCTTTTGTTGGTAGACTTCGATTACACGTTGATAGCTAATTTTTTGTTAGATTAATAGGAACATAACACAACACAAGACGGAAGAATCAAGATTCTTTTAGAACCAGCAGATCTATATGTGTAAAATAAAATACATACAATCAGACTATAAGTGTTTGCACTGCTGGGATGTTTGAGTATTCAAGGTTGGATTTATGTTCGCACAGTAGTGGCTGCATCGGGAATTACTGTTCCCTCTGGAAGTTCCCGAACGAGGGAAAGGAGCTTCTCCAACTTGCTAACTTGCAGTGTATGCTGGTCGAGATACAGTTGTTTCTTAGGCGGCTTGACCATCATGCGGAGATTGGGTGAAAGCTTCAGAGATGTGGTCACGCCCCTAGAAAAAGTAATGAAATTTGAGGTATTAAAAGTACTATTCATAATAGGAGGTTAATGTAGTCCTTACTTTTCATCACCCACAACGATAAAGGCGAGTTTCTCATTGAAGGCCAATCTGGTAAGTTTGTTCTTTCTTTTCGGAACCACAGCCTGCACGCAAATGGGCTTGTATTTATTCACATTTAAATCGAAAACGTGCACTTTGCCCTCGGTGGTCACTGCAGCGAATACGGTGCTGGAATAGGGAGCCCACTTCACATCGCCCACGGCGGCTCCCAAATCGAAGATGAAGAGCGGATCAGCACGCATGTCCTCCCAGACTTTGACCCTCCAATCGCCGCCACAGGACACGAAAATGTTGCTGTTGAAGCGGTTGAAATCGATGCGGTAAACGGACATGTTGTGGGCATTGTAGGTCATCAGGTATTTGGAACTGAATGCAGTGCTGCATTTATAGATGAATCCACATTCGGTACCCACCAAAAATACCTTTAAAATAAAAAAGAAGAAAATAAATGATTTATTGAACATTGAAATATTAGACAAAAAAGTATACAGGCTTACCTTATTGTCAAGGGGATGAAACACCATGCAGGATCCTCCGCTCTTCAGGCTGACCTTAGTTCCATCTGGTCCGTCCACGAGTCCATTTTCCCGATACAATGTGATGATGGTGGTGACCCACAGTTTGTTCTGCATAAGGATCCAGTTGAAGACCCGCCCGTCGGAAGACACAGAGAAGAAGTTGACTTCGCCGTCGCTCATGTCAAGTCCCCACTTTATTTGCCAAACGCATTCGCCGTGCTTGCACTTTACTCCTTTGGAAACATACAAGGGTTCCTTGCAATTCTCCCGAAGGTTGTACACTGCCACATTTCCATCATAGAGACCGATAACCGCCAGAAAAGGATATGTTGGATGGATATCGCAGCACATAACACCACTGTCGGTTTGAACTAAATTTTAATGAGGGATTAGTCATTGATTAACTATATATTAAAATTGGATGGAAAACATACTTATGTAGTCTGGGAATGAAGGATTCTTGACAGTGAAGAGACACAAATAACCCTCGTTAGTCTGCTTCATAAAGTCATCTAAAAGATTAGATAGGAGAAATTAAAATTTTTTTATTATTTTATAATTTGTAATTAGGAACTTACGTGATCCGAAGCAGACAGCAAATAAGTCATAGTAGCTAGGATTAAATAGGATATCTGTGACATTCATCTTCTTGGTCTTGTCGTATTGGAACTTCCAGAGGGGCAGCAGGTTGCCCTCGCCATCCCGAAACTCATCAGCAGGATCCTCCCAATAGCGATAATCATGGGCAATATCGTCGTAGATATTCTGGTTTATCATGCGCTCGAGGATCTGCCAGCACTTGAGATACTTTTTGTTTAACTGCTCGGCAATGGCGGACTTATCCCTGAACTTCTTGGCCCGTCTGCCTCGCTTTCGATCCTCTTTCTTGCCACTACTTTCCTTCTGCTGTTCCTCGAAATTCTCCATATAGGAATCATAGATGACCCACTGCAGAACATTAGCTCCAAACTGAGAGCGAGGCGGTGGAATTGTCTGGGTGTCCACACTCTGAAAGATGAGATTATAGAATATAAAGGTGAACAAGAAATTTTAAAATAATATTAATAATAAAAACAAAAATAATATCTTATAGTTAATGAATATTTGAAGCTTACTTACCCTTTTGGGATTTGTATAGGTTAGAGCACCGCGTTCGCAATAGTTGAATTGGTTGATCAGCTTCCTTTTCTTTGAAGAAGCAGGACCGGCTTGTTGGGCGGGTTCTCCGTCTTCAGGACGAGCAGCCCCGCTTTCTCCCTCACCCTCTCCTTCGCCTTCATCGCCCTCGGTGCCCTTGGCCTCCTCGTCGTCCTCCTCCTCGACTTCCTCCTCCTCTCCGCCGGCGTCCTTGGCGCTTAAGTATTGCAAATCATTATACTTAATGCTTTAACTAGTAAGATATGAATGCTTACTTAGCACCATCGTCGTCCTCTTCGCCCTCACCCTCTTCTCCGTCGAGGTTTTCGGTTTCGCGCTGCTCCACCACCTGGTAGTTGGGCATGGGAAGTGGGTAGCTGATCTCATCCGACTCCTCGATCTGGCGACGACCCTCCTCGGAGTCGACATGCAGTGAGTTGCCGGGAAAGGCAATCAAGGTGACTGTGTTACCCGGAATGGGAGCTAAAACAAACTCGCCCTCCTTGAAGCTGTAGACCACAAGGTTCCGGATCACATTGGTGTTTGTGGGGGTCAGGACCTTGGTGACCTCCTCGCCCAACTCGGCCTCAGTGAGCTCCAACTGGTCATCGGGCTTGAGCAGCTGGCGGGACTTCATCCAGGCATCGAAGTCATCGGCATCGCCACCTCCTCCTCCGCCTCCCTCGGTCTTGTTTTTGGAGGTCCTCAGCTGGGGAAATCGGATCAACAGTATGACTAACTCAAGGGATTATTTGTTCGGTTTACGGAGTGTGGTGCATGCAACATTCCACTGAAGGTGCCACAGAATAAACGAAGCTGGGAACGGGAGTCTGGATGGGTGGTGGCCACTTACCTGGAGTCCTCCATATCTGATACCTTAAGATTTGGGTGCGATCTGGATTTATTTTGGGGCAGGTGAGAGGGATCATGAGAAAGGAGAACCAAGCGGTATGCGGCATGCGACTTGAAAGGAGATATATAATCCAAATATCGGCTGATAGGTCTTATTTTGGGGTTTATTCCCAAGGAGGCGTTACCTCGTCGCCATCCCAGTCGCTGTCGCTAGCGATCTCCTCCTCAGGATCAGGATTGGCGATTTCTGGATCACCTGCATTCTCTGCCATTGCGATTCTAACTAGACTTATTATGAGTTGAGATGGAGAGCGGTCTGTCCTACTTAGCTACGACTACGAGTTCGATTTAGATTTGGTTTTAGATTTGAAGATACGACTACGGGTTGTATTTACAAGTTGTACATATGGAAAGATATCGGTTATTTACATTAGATTCAGACACTCGTGGTATTTACAGGTCCCTAGGTTACAATGCGTTCCAGAATAATGAGACTTTATTATAGAACTTTTTAGTGATAATATATACAGTGCACCAAATGTAATTATTTATTATAGGCCCTCAAAAAAGGTTTAAACATTTGGACTTTAGCAAAATGTATTTGTACAGTTTATAATCCATTTGTTCCATGATTTTAAAACGCACTGCAGTCACACTCACAGGCACACAGATCTAAGGATTCAATTAGCTAAGAGTTGCTAGAGGAGATGCAATCTACTGGTCATATACCGCCATGGCCTTGTTGGCTAGCTTCCACATCCTGGCAGAAATTCAAAATCACTTTTGGGCAGAGAGAAATACGAGACTGACTGATGCCCAAGGAGCTTTGAGCTCAAGAAATCGGAAAACGTGTCCGGTCTTTGTCTTTTGGGAAATCTATCCGGCGAGAGCGGCGTGGCAAGACTGAGGCCCAAAAAGGAGTCGCAACTTTAAGCCAAGACATTCGTGATGACGTTCGCCACGTCAGCGGCCTCTTCAATAACGAAGGCGAAAAACTTTTTCAGCCTGACGTCACAACAACCAGGATGAGGCGGAATAAACAAATTGCACACAACTCGATTATCAAATCCTGGGAATGGGTAATGTGGGGAATAACAGCAGGGCCAAGTCCCCCGACTGCCTTCAGAGATTGGTTCTTACATAAAAACATATTTATTTTGATGTGCTTCTAAATGAATAAGGTGAGCCTAGGATCGTATACGTGAGTGATTTATCGACTCTTTTATTGCGTTGGTCCTGATGAGACTTCGACACTCACCAGCCAGCCAGCCAGCCAGTCGACCAACCAGCCAACAATCCAACCCGGCAAAATGCGAGGCCAAATACTCGTAAATTGGTAGCTGTAACAAAATTGCACCGCTCCGATTTTATTTTCTTTATTTGCCTACCAGCTTGGCACGCACATGGCCGGATGGGCAGGAAATTGCAAATTATGTTTCGTGACAAAGTTCCATCAAGGAGAGCTGCCTGACGGAGCCAAGCTTTCAGACAAACTTATTAAAAAGTAAGCGCAAATAAGCGCAAAACAAATTTTTAAACACAGAAATAGACTTCGCTCGCAGCAAGGACCTCAGCTTTGCCAATACGTTGTCAGCTTTCGAGGCGAAAGGATGTGTGCTCAGAGTGTAAATTCGACCAAGTGCAGAATATATCATTTTGTGGAATATCATCTATTCGGCTTCAGTACTTACTTTCCCTTTGACCTGCTTCCCATCGCCTTTTCCCGCTTTGGTTGCCATAGTTAATGCGGATTATAGAATTCCTTGTGTGGAAAATCCCTCGGGTTTCAAGTCTATCCAAATATAATTCGAAAAATTTAGTCACTTTTGAAATTAACTGAAAATAATAAGTGTGAGTGACTGTTTTTTAAGTTATCTGACAGCGGGCCAAAAAGTGCTTTGTTGAGTGCGTATTTCACAAAATCTGAGCCAACTAAACCTCAACTTTATGTAATCGTGTGGGGAAGGACCTTACTGCCATTCCGTGGCATTAGAGCATTGTTTATTTCAGTTTCTATAGAAATTTGGCAATCGACTTACGCACCAGGTTACGGTTGCCATTTGCATATCGATTGTACTTGGGATTTAGGCCTGGGAGTTTCATAAAAGTACGTAAAAAAGGGTAAGTTTCAAAGGAGTTCAGCTAGTGATGGTGAAAATAGTTCCAGGACTCCGCCAACTGTATATAGAACTCGAGTCTTTAATTTAAAATAAAACTATACTTCAATTTGATAATTTCTCTCATTACAGACAGTTAGGAATTTAAGTTTTCTATGTGGATAAATACAAGAGAAATAAATATTGGACACCAATCCAATAAAACTAAAACAAGTATTAAATACATAATTTTTTTCCCTTAAAATATAGAAAAACTTTTGTTTTGACTCAAGTAAGTATACGCTTGCCAAACCGTTGCACTCATTTAAAATCGATGAGTGGGTCAGCTAGATGCACCGATCTTGGGGCGAACAAACAAAGCAGACTCATTAAGATCGGTAGATTGTGGTGCTTGGGTCGCCCGCGAGTAATAAAGTAGCAGTGCCGCCAGCGGTGCCCAAGAGCCAAATGAACGCAGCGAAACGGCTGTGGTGACGAGCTCTTTGATTGGAACGCCACTTGATGCGACATGCATATTAATTAATTTCTACTGTTACATTTCGGCGGGTTTTCGGTGGACATCGCGTCAGTCGGAATTGGGTAACGGCGATTTGGGATATTACAACAGAATACAAGACCTGCGACCGATTGCAAATCGCTGGGCAGCCGGACGCACTGCCGCCGTGGAGCCCGTGCAGTTGGCCGAATTTATTCAAATCAGTTGAATTCGGCGCGGGTTAGCGTATAGGTGTCGTCTCTGTTCGGATCATCGAATCAATTGCAATGTGCAAATACGTCTTAATTGCTGCACTGGCGGTAATGGTAAGTGGGCAATTAAGCCAGCCACCCGAGACCCACTAATCACCGCATTAACATTGCCCTTGGCTGCACAGTGCTCCGTGGTGGAGGTGCGAGCCACACTGCACGACTTTCCCGGGGTCTTTGACTTCTCCAACGTGGACCTGGTGAACTTCCAGTACTTCAAGAACCTCCCCTCGCAGGATCCGCGAACTGCTGCCACCGCCAATCCGTTTTTGGAGCACTTTCAGAAGAAGAAGGCGGTGCTGGACTACTTGGACCGCCTCTTCTTCGGCAACTCGCCGTTCCAGCAACCCAGCGAGATTCCCTTCGATCCGCACTTTGGTCGCGCTTATCGATCGAACTACGAGCGCAAGTTTGGATACCGCGGGGAGCGACTGATCGCCGCTCTGGGTTCCGGTTACTCTGTTCGCCAGCTGATGCACTTCGGAGCCATTCCCCAGGAGTACGGCACTCCCCACTATCCCAGCTGATTGCGGATGACAGCAGAATTTATTTAAATAATTTATTTATGAAATAAATTTAAGTTACGAACTTTGAACTTCTTGCTTCACTTGGAAACCTATAGGAACTACTGCGATACCTATTGGATTGATTTGATATTGTATCTAGGCATTGCAAAGCCAAGACCATGATTATTCTTTTACTTTTAAAACTGGAAGAAACTATGCAATTAGCACTATTCCAAAAATGGCTTACTAATTGGGTGTGCAGAAGAGCTAATGTTTTTAAACAAGTCAGAAGCTATGCAGCATAAGCAACAGCAGATGACTGAACTGCAATCTGTTCCTCTCTATTCCAATTAAGAATAATGTTAGAATTTTTTCTGGAGACTGTTGTATTTATGGAATAAACCTTAGGACTACGATTTCAGACCCTTCTCTTCTGCGTGGAAATGTAGAGCACATTGTTTCCCCGGATAAAGGCATCGCCGTACTTGTTTTTCAGCTGTCCGTTGACGTACTCCTCCGTTTGTTCCAGGCAGATGTTCATGTAGCCATCCAAACAAGCCAAAACCCCTGCAATTGGAAATCAAATCGTGATTGCCGGCTTTATGTATTTTGAACTTTTCGACCTCACCTCGGTAGTCCACGCCATTATTAAGCTTCACAGCCACGGGGCGACCGTGTATCTGATTGATAAACTGAGACAGGGCTTCCTTACGAGACATGTTTTATAGAATATTTAGAATATAAATGCAAAATCTGAAATATCTCTGGCAAAAACAACACAAATTCGAAATAGAGATGGCAAAACATCGATGACGTTCGATAGTTAGCCACACTCCACATTCGGGCTTTCAACCAATCACAAAAGAGTTTTAGGGTTGGAAAACGCCAGATGGTCTTAACAGCGCCATCTGTTGCTGAAGTTAAGGAGAGTTTTTGAACGTTACAGATAAATAAAAAAACGTTTAATTTAGATAAGGCAGATAATATATAAATTATGAACTACAATGCATCTATTAGTTAAATATGCTTAGTGTATGCCCTCCAGTGGCGTGTAGGTCTTGTACTGGTACAATTCTGGTCCACCGTAGCCATACAGAAGTTTGCCGCGTCCATGTTCATCGTAGTAGGGGTAACGGTACTTGGGTCTAAAATGTATTATAAATTTAGTATAAAACTAATTTTTTGACAAACGATTAAGATATACCTTTCAAAGTACTGAAAATTTGGTGCCTTTGGCTGAACTGTGGCCAATGATGTGTGCACCACAAAAGCTAAAATAAACAAAAGAAGCTGAAACAAGAAGAAATAATTATAATAAGTGATTAAAATTCAAAGACCCTTATTTCATTCTCACTAATCCAATTTTAAAAGTTTGAGAGCTTCGTATGAAACGAAGTACTTGTGAGTAATTTGAGCTACGTGTATCTTCAATAAACTTTTCCCTAATAAAAAACTATAATTGCAAATTCTGCCAAGTTGTGAAATGGATAGTTTCGAGTAAACAGGAAAGTAGTTTAGCATTTTATTTTTTTAGCAACCCGTTTCATGTGATTAAAAACTGGTGCGTGCTTATGGTAAAAGTCGCGTTTGAACTGAAATTACTTTTAACAAACATAACATTGTGAAAGTGGTTCGATTTAGGGAAGTTAAACTTCACATTAAAACAGCAGCAACGGCTCATTAGCTCACTGTGTCAGCTAGTTAAAAGTAATGGTAATAAGTGTACTGGCAGTTGGACGACGCCTTCCAAGAAATCACATTCAGGCGGTTAAGCCCACATCCACATCCAGCAAACGGTTGAATGACGCCTGGTTATGCAATTACACCAACAATAGCAATAACCACGATGCGCAACTTGGCCACAACTTGTTGCTCAGAGATTATGACACATTTCGCTTGGCTTTCAACTTGGCCAAGAGAGCGCGAAGAAAAGAGAAAGATCGCTCGATCGTGTCTTTCAAGGTCTCTCCATCCGAAGAGAGAGCCTTCAAATTTGGCCCACATATGATTCGGATATGTGTCAATTGTCTGGCCAACGAAAACAAATACGTTTCGAAAGAAGAACCGTCGAAGGCTCATTGGAAATTCAACTCACAATTTTCAACGCTCGCAGACGGTTTTCTTTTGGGTGGGACTTTCGCGCAGAAAAGGCGGAAATTGTGTCAGTGGGCTCTAAGACGTGTTAATTGGGGAGGTAAGCCCTAAACATGGACCACCTCCCGTCGAGGTGAAGATCAAACGATCCGAAACTTACGGGCAGCAGCAGAGCGTTTAACCTGGCCATGATTTTTCAGATTTTTAGATACAGTAGCTAGTTCCCGACCGCAGGCGTAACGGTAAAGCTAAGAAGGGCGGAGCGGTGCGAAGATGTTAGCCGATCGCGTTTTGTTTGGCAACTGAATTGCATTGCCAGACGGCAAGTGGCCAAAAGCCGAGCTCCATGAAGAGAGCCAGAAAGCTTGACAAAGAGAGTTGGAGCTTCGAAGTTTGGCTTACACTAAGGCTTCCTCACTATCTCTTCAAATTTGTGTACACTGTTATGTTGCAAGACTTTTAGTAACAGTACTAACAATGTCTTTAATAAATATTTGTTTGCAGAAATAATAATAACATAGCTTAGATTAAGCTGTAATTACATAGATAGACAAATAATAATTATCGATTATTAGGAATTACAATTCTATTAGAATTGTATTACTTCAAAACACAAAGTAAGCACTATACACTAGACGATGTTCCAATTAACCATAATATATAAAAATATATATTGGTTAAACTGATAACTTATGTCTGGAAACTAAACAAAAAGGCAGCCCATATAAGGTAAATATTTTCTTTCGGTGGATTGTAAGCTATCTGTTTATTTAATCTAATGATCCTGAAGATTTTGCAACTCACGAGGAAAGTGAAAGTCCTGAAAAACAAAGACCTAACGCTTTTTTCGCAGACATTTAGGCTGCCGGAAACTTATGTTTATAAACAAAAACATTGGCAGGAAAAACTCACCTGAGGGGACTCACGTAGGCTCTTTTTTTCATAATTTCAAAAGAGAAATGTTAGCTTCTGAAGAGCTGAAGAGAAATATGGGAAGCCCGGTGCGCCGAGACAGCTGTTCAAGTGGGCAAAAATGGAATTGAGGCCACATTACCAAAGTGGTAGTGGACCCACTGGATGACCACCTCCGAGATCGAGGTGACGGTGGACAATTATGTAACTTTTGCAGCCATAAAGAGTCAAGCCCCGATGAAAGAAATAACTCCCAACCAGTTTTTGCTTTCTTTATTTCGCGGCTCTGTGCCATTTCTTTTCAGCTCTGGCGCACTTTCTTTGCCTTGCATTTGCATTCGCATTTTTCCCTAGGTTTCTATTTCTGTTTAACATTATTTTTTACCTTTTTCCCCCTTTTGCTTTGGGCGCATTTGGTTTGCGGCTAATGCCAGTAACCTTTGGCGAATACGCGTACTTAGTTCCGTCTGCCATGAAAATCAAATTTGGACTGCCATTAAACTTAACAAAAAAAATAAAACAGTTCATAAAGCCAAACAAGAGTATGGCAAAGCCAGCTTTTAAAGTACCTGCTTGAAGGTTAAAAGCAGAGTCACAGATCATATTCCATTAATAGGCTCTAAACGAAAACCTTTGAAACTATTAATACACTTATAAAATTAGTGAATGAAACTATAATTTCTTTTACTAGAAATGTTTAATTAAGTTGCGGAATACATTAACTTTCTTAAATAAATTTAAACTTAACTTTTCTTCAGACCACAAACCATTATTTACTGGGAGTTTTTCTCAATGTGTTAACACACATTTTCGAATCCGTTAAAGATTTGTTAGCCAAATTGTTTTTCGGCTCTAATCTCTCAATCCCTCTCCGTTTTTCTCTCAATTTCTGGCCCACTCTTCACGCAAGCTGTGTAACTTCTCAAAGTTTGTTTGGCTTGCCATATTTTGTTGCCGCTCCTGAGGTTGATTTTTATTTTCAATATTTTTTCGAGTTGGCGCTTGGCTGCGTTTTATGCAACTACGCGATTTCTGCGATTCGTAGTCTTCAGTGATCAATGGTCCAGTGAGTCGCACGGGCGGCTTTTCAACCAGAAAATACAACGCGATTCGAGACAATGTTACACCTGAGATTTGTTTTTGTGGCCATTGTAAGTGCGCCGAAATGTGATTGGAGCGAAGTAAACTAGCCATGAATAAAATCGTTTAGAGCAGTGTGCCGCGTATAAGTAGTAAACGCTGATCGATTTACTTCTTGTGAAATATTTTATCTACTTTCCTTCAGACTAAATGGCAGGGGTCGTTTGTCGTTTGAACAACAATCGCAAAATAAGCTGATTTAAATAAGTGGATTTCGTTAAGAGAAAAATATTGTAATTTTTTAGGACAGCACACCTTATATTTATTTATTGTCAAGTGAAAAATTATTTAAAAAAAATGAATTGCACTTTAAACTTTAAATTATTTATACGTATTTTTTATTTTCAGTTACCTTTGGTGCTGCTGTTTTTGCTTCAGGTCAGCCAACCCACCGATGGCTTCATCCTCCGACTGATAACCGAAACCCTTCAAAACAATGTGGCTGGTGAACCAATCCTGCACGAGAGAACTCAATGGGACTTTGATCCGGAAGCGGCCAAACGGGCGAGGTCCTTGTACTACGAGGTGACATATTATAATCTAGATGTCTTGTTCCACTTCCTTAGTAACCCCCGATCTTTGCAGAAAAATGGATTCCGTTCCTCCAAGTTCATCGAGCGATTGGGAGTGGGCCTGGATGGGCTTCACGAGGAGCGGCGGGCGGCGCAAGGACAACGGGACGAGGGGCGGTTGAACGGGGAACACAATGTGAACTATCCGCCTCCGCCGGCTTAGCCATAAATAATTATGATTTAAATTTAACTCTCTTGTTTCGTTTGGCATGCTTAATCCTCGCCGAGTGGCTGGGAATGGGGTACAGAATATGGAAAAATCCAGCACATTGTCATCATTTTAATTTGCAGCGATTAATTGTCATTGTGCGCATTAATGTGCTTCACAAGGATTTGCGTAATTTGCACAACGTTGCCGCATGCAACTGCAGTACTACACGTATATCCCTCTCTGTTCGGCTTACTGTCAATGGCTGCAGGATCTGAAGGATAAAGTAGGCGGCGAGGGCGGGTCCTGGATCCCCGGCTGCGATGTTGTTGTGGTTTTAATAAACGTTATTAGCCGACTGGCAGCGCTGCCTGCAACTGCAAATTGCCGCAATTACATTTGGCTCAAGCGAATAGCAACGGCAGCTACTTACTTTCGCAATTTTTGTAATTTCATAATTCTGTCGCATAATTGAAGCCAATTTCGCTTCGAGCTGAATCAGGACAACGAGAAATGGTGTGTGTTGGGGGAAAAAAGGATACAGGTGTGCGAATGAGCGGGCTGCCATTTTCCGCAGCATTTTCGAAAAATGGGGGATGAGCAATTCCGGGAAAGTGTTTCGTCTAAGATTTTAATTTTAGGAAAATTGTGTGGCACACTTTTAGGCTTTGTCGGTAATCGATGAAAACCTTAAAACCTTTTCCAAATAAAGGTAAAGTTTATTTTTAATAGAAGAAAAATATAAAATAGAACTACAAATATTTGATATAAGTTCACCTTTAATAAAGGTTCCATAATGCAACTCGTATTTATGAAAGGCTAAAAACGATGCATAATTAAACTTATTCATGATAGTAATTTACGTTGGATTTTAAATGAGTCAAGAGCTAGTTAAGCTCCCCACTCAGGAAATCTTATGCCCAATTGTATTGTTATTTAATCTTTATTAAATCAACATGTATTAGCGAACTTTCGCTGAATCCGATTGCCAGAATCGAGGGCCGACAATCACGGGTATTAACGCGAACAATGGCAGCCGCAACTGCAGTAGCGCCGCAACTGCAGCAACTGCTGCAACCGCAACTGCAACTGCGTGTGTGCTGCGGAAATGAACTGCCGCCCGATGATGCAACGAGTGCTCGGCAAACTGCAGCGTTAAATAAATAAAATTACGCACAATTTGCGGCGTCGACGGATCGACGGGCCGGCGGAAATGCAGAACGGAAATTACATTACAGCACGCAGAGTGTGCACAAAGCCACGAGTGCGTATACGTAATGCGAGGCCAAGCAGCGATAACACCATAAAATTGTTTAATAAATTGTTAATACAACATTGTAAATATTTCATTGATAACCGCTCGGATTCTCACTCCCCAAAACGTTCACTCGTGCGAACCACAGCAGTTGTTCCTGTTTATGACACTAATTTAATACGAAATCAAACAGTCATCGCCATCTCGATAAGACATGCGGGTTGACTTTTATTAAAGGCAAATGTAAATAAAATCATAATGATATTTCGCCAGTCCCAAACGCGCAGTGCCGATCCCGATTTCTGTACCGGATGAGGTGCATGCATTCATTAGCCTTATCAGCTCACTCAACATCAAATAAAATGTTTAATAATACAAGCGATGGGCGGTGGACGGTGGGCGGGGTTTTTACCGAGTGGCAAACTCGATAATAATGACGGGATATCACATCAGGTTGAATCAATTGTCGCGTTGTTGGGTATTAACTTTCATTTTGTGACGATTTTCCCCTGACATCAATTGCTGTGAAAGCGGATTACTTGTCATAAAAATGTGCGCACAAAAAAAGGGAGAATTTATGTAAACGCGTGGAAAATGGGGAGGGGAAAAGGGGGATTTTCCTTTTCAATGGGTGCTAAATGTTTTTTGATACTATTATTATTGGACAGGTAGGACCATGAATGTTTGGCAGGTCGCGGGGGTGATAAAAATACTCTTCTATAAATAGGTTAAGTGATTTAATTGGATCTCTTTTAGAAATGTTTAATAGAATGACGAAAGACATCAATAGAAAGTTAAATATTTTTTATTGTTAACCTCTTTTGAAACTGAAAATAAATGAACGATTTTTTCTTCTTTCACTAGACACAGCAGAGTATTTCAACACATCTATAAAATTTATTAGCTGACCACATAATATTTATTTCGGTACATTTAGTACCTTTTTATTGGTAAATCGACATTGAGCCTAGAATTATAAGTGGCTAGACATTGCATTAGCCAGAACCAGTTGGCATTTATTTGTGAACACGTAACCCCACCGAAATCAAAGGACCCATGTGAAAAGCATTTCCTTATTTGGCGGGCCCCAAGCCCGCAGTTCGCTGATTATTGGTTCAATGTACCTGAAGGACATTTTTTTCTACTGCAAAGAAACGAAATCAGAGCGGGCAAAAGGTGGTGGAATGAATTTCTTAATGCATTTCCGTTGCGCAATTGAAGTCAAGCCAAAAGGCGGAGCAAGGACTCGGTCGGTGGCTAATGCACGGCCCACAGCCACAATAAATGTCAACTTGTCCTGCATGCAAGTGAAGTGTATCCTGGCGGGGGCAGGTCTTTTGCACAAGAAAGGGCAAGAGAGCCGAGCGAAAGGCAAATCAACTTTGCTTGCGCATAAAATGTAATTTATAAAATGTAATATAATATCAACAGCACACAGAGAGAGCGGAGATTGCGGAGGGGTTGAAGGGGGCGGCAGGATTGTGGGGTCATCCCACAACAATGCCATAATGTCAACTGCCTTTTGTCCTTGCGGCTGATTCTGCTGGCGACCCGCTGCTGTTGAGTCGCCCATCCTTCATTCTTAACCCAGGAGCATTTATTTTATTTCATTAAAAGCAGGAGCACAGAGGAAAACAAGATAATCCTTTAAAAATATATAAGTATTTAGCTGAAAATAATTTGAATATAATCATAGTGTATCACTAAATGTTTAATACTCATAACAGATTTGTTTTGTAATAATTAAATGTAGTAAATATTAATGGCTTCATAAAATAAATTTTATTTTTAGTTTTAATACATTTGTGTTATTATTTTGTTGCGATAATTCAACTTTAACTAAAACCAAAGATTACAAAGTTAATTTTGTCATTTATTCGCCTCTGTGCAAAGCCATCTTATCCTCCTTTCCCTCAGTCTCTCTCTTTCTCGGCAGGAGGTCCTTTGGCATATCCTTGTGCCTTTTTTATTTGAGGGTAATTGCAATGCTAGCTGGGCAATTTTAAATTTTATCATTGCGCCCGCATCTGTCGCTGACAGATTAGTTAGTTATTCCTCTTATCCTTCTGCTCCTCCTTCAGATTGGTCCTTGTTCGTGCCTTTATTCATTGTGTGGCTGCCATAATTTTGTCAAGCAATTACTCATTTACATAAACAGTCACTCAGTGGGCTTCAAAAGTATTAAAAAGTTGAATATTGTAATCCCAAATATCTAACGATATTGAAACCCAAGCTCACGAAAGTTCTTGTTTGTCGGAAATGATTGGAATTCTTGTATACCAAACAGGCAAATGTAAGTGCGTGTTTGCTTTTATTTATAAGCATGTGCATGTAATATTTTCAATATGTTTGCCAAAGGATTTCTTTTCTGAGTTGGAAATGCAAATCCATTATGCCACAACGTCCTCGACTAATGCACTGTGTAAACTTTGAGACAGCCTTTGGTTCAGCTTTTCGCATTGTTGTCGCTTATTTCTTGCCATTGTTAAACGTATTAGGAATGTGTGCATAATATCGGCAATATAATAATGGAATAGGTCTGGAATTTTAAAAGCATCTTGAAGGAGCAAATTGGCTGAGTAAACAATGTATTGGGAACATTTATAAAGTCTAAGAATTACATAAGTAATGCAATACATAACAAAATGGATTCGATTTTAGTATTTACATGTTTTTATATTACATAGAAATATGATTTATGTTGTAATAACGCTTAATATCCAAGGCTTAAAATAATATTTGAGAAGATAATCCCCTTGTGACTTCCTGTTTTCAATAAAACTAAAATCTCCATTCCTGCAACGGGGTAAATACATTTTTATTAAAAAATCTTGAGTAAATTACAGTCATCAGATGGTAAGCCAAATCAAACATTTCCTGCTCAGCCATTGGATATCCCAACAACCTTCCATTTAATTCGGTTTCTTCTTTTTTGCTGCTCTCGGTCCTTTGCCACTCGAATTCACTTGATTACAAAGTAATTTATTGGCAAAACGAAAAGTCGCAGGAGCAGCAGGCAGCGGCAACAAGGAGCTAGATAAACAAGGATTTGTCTCAATGGCAGTCCTCTGACCTCCCACAACCGCCCCCTCAACCTATTCGCTGTGCATACGAAATGCGGCAAATCCCAAAAATCAACAAACAAATGAAAAGAAAATTCAATAAAATACGAACCGAATCGCAGAGGGAACTTTTTCTCTTCTTTCTTTCTGGTTTGGAGGGGAAAAACTAATTACACAGAAAAGCTGAAAAAGCGTCTGCCAGTGGGCGTGTTGTGCTAGCTCTGCCACGCCCACCATTTTAGCGCCTCTTCTCCTTTAACTTTTGATTTCTTTCCCTGCGCATTTTTCCCTTTTCTTCACTTTTTGCACATTGCGTAAGGCGCATTTAATTACGTATGCGAGGCAGGAGTTGGGATCCTAACTCGCGCTAAGTTTATTTTTACTTTCTTGGTACAGTGAGTTCACACAAGAAATTATATTAAATTTAATGGTTAATTTTAAAAAGAGTAAGGCATTATCCAGTTTTTCTCATTTAAAAAAGATATAAAAACTTCGAACTTATAAGTGTGCTTTAAATTATAATTGTTTATAATAATATAATTTGTAAATTTTACAAAATGTAGTTTTAACAAGTAAATTACAAATATTTATTCTCGAAAAAAAAAATGGTAAATTAACTTTTAAGTTTCTGATAATATATGTTATAGAAAATCATCTCATTTAACCTTATCTTATAAGAATTCGCACTGTAACTAACC